TTTGACAGAAAAGGGACTTTTTTGGATTTAACTATATTCTGTCTGCATTCTATTCTTCCTGTGTAGGTTTCTACTAGAGCCTGTGGAGGGGGGACACTAAATTTAGATTGAGGCAGTCCCCACTGGTAAGAAGCATGAGGACCTTATTGGACACAGAGCTTCTAGGTCTTTCCACCTGTAGCCTCTACCCTGTTCCCGCACTTTACCTGAAACTGTGCCTCTGGTCTTTAGACCAGCTATTGGAACATATCACTCACCCACTCTGTTACAGCAAAGGGCCAGTTGGGATGGTACATGCTGTGTAATCAGACACCTTCTTGACAAGTACAGCTGATGTTTCTCACTGTTGCCTTATCATTCTCTGAGCCATCTTTGATGTTGATTTGTAAAAAAACAAAAAACAAGCCAAAAAAAAACCAAACTTAGTAGCAAAACTCCTGTTAAACTCAGAGCTCTTATGTGGTGGTCATTCGACATCCTTATTTCTAGATTTACACAGACTGTATCAAATGTAATCTTTTTCTGGCACATGTGTTTGGTCAGATGCTTCATGAACATGAGCCAATTTGGGTTGTAAATATTGGGCATAATATCCAAATTGGGGTAATTTTGGATGACTGCATAATCCTGTCATTAGAGATTTCATAAGATAGAAGATAACTATTTGTAATTTAACACATTTTTTTAAAAGGTGAAATTTAATTTTTTTCCCTCAGTTGCGTATACAGCTATACACCATACTATGTCATAGGAACTTAAAGCTAGATGCATCTGAATCCCTTCACTTTTCTGAGACTTCTCTGCACTCCCACCCCTGAAGTCTTCAAATCATTTTTAATCTGTGAAGTCACTGAGGTACTGGGCTTGATGACAGTGGTAATCTTTAAGGGGAGTTGAACTGTTGATCTTCCAAGAAGAAGGGGACCACACAGTGTTAAGATGCTGCAGTTGTGTTACTGTGAAGAAGAGATTCGCTTCCACTTTCAGCAGGCTATATATATATATATATATATATATATATATACACACACACACACACATATATATAGATATATTTTCACTTTGGTAAAAAAAAAAAGTTGAAAAATCTGAGGAGAACATAATTACCTTCACAAATTATTTATAGATACACTGGGTGAGAAGCTTACTGTAGGGCAGTCACCAGAAAACTAATTTTAGTGCTTTCAATAGTGTAATATTTGTATCTATTACCATGGCTGCAGTGTCTGCTGCGCGTTGTGTCCTATTACTGTAAACCACCTGGTTTATAATTCTTATGGAAACTAATTTGTTTTGTAATGGAATCCCGAGCAGAAATGTATAATATGATCAGGATTGTCCTACAGTTGTAAATAAGAATAGGCCCTCTTTATTTTGACATCTTTTTACAAATGCATTGTATTAGGGTGTGAATATTCTGAACCATCCTCTTGTTTAAAGTTTGGAAATTTTTATTGTTAAATGTAACATTTTAATGGTTGTAATAATTATTTGTATAGATATGAATATAGTATTTTATTTAAGAAAATAAACTTTGCATTTTTGCATCGTAAATTCTGTCTTCCCTGATGATTGCATGTGCCACTTGAAACCTGCATTAAAGTGGCTTGTCTTGCACACCGAAGTCTTCTGTTCAAATTATCTTTAAATTTTGCTGTAACATCTGAAAATAATGCCATGACGTATTTGCCATAGGGATTGTGTTCCTGATTAACCAGCAGACCTCAAATTATAATTAGGACCAGAACTGTATTGTTAGAACAAACTGTGTACCTCTATACTCATAAAAGGTAAAATTAGAATTTCAGATCTGAAAGAGTATTTCAAGATGATCTATTTAAACTGTCTCTTCTTCTTTTATAGTGGAAGAAACTGAAGCACAGAACTTTGAGACAAGAGTGAGGTCTTTCACTATAGCTACCCACATCACCTAGCAAAACTCACATTCATGAAGCCTGGAGGCAAAAAAAATGCAGAGGAACTTGTACAGTATAAAGTGATGTAAAGTTTAAATGCCTATACATCAGACAGTTTATTGTTTGGGCTACCCAACAGGTGTGGTAAAAATGATAAATTAAGGAAATGATAAACTCAAAATTCAGGATAATGGCTACTTCTTAGAAAAGGATGAAGGGGGATGATATCAAGGAGGGAGGAGTACTTAAAAGTGTTGTTATATGCTGCCTCATTGGGTAGCAGATGCTCAGGTATTGATCACATTTATGCCTGAAATCTTTGTCTTATGAATGTCTAAAATATATCCTAATGTTTTAAAAGGTAAAATGGCCAGGCGCAGTAGCTCACACCTGTAATCCCAGCACTTTGGGAGGCTGAACCACGTGGATCACTTGAGATCAGGAGTTCGAGACCAGCCCGGCCAACATGGTGAAACCCCATCTCTACTAAAAATACAAATATTAGCTGGGCGTGGTGGCAGGTGCCTGTAATCCCAGCTACTCAGGAGGCTGAGGCAGGACAATGGCTTGAACCTGGGAGGCGGAGGTTACAGTGAGCCAAGATTGCACCACTGCACTCCAACCCTGGGCAACAGAGCGAGACTCCGTTTCTAAATAAATAAATAAAAATAAAAGGTAAATTGAGGACCTTAGACATCACTTTCACATGTACTACAGGAAATTAAAGCTCACAATACTTTCCTTGACCTACCTTCTTGGGACTTCAGATTAGAAGTCAGTATTCTGACTGTGAAGGGCTAACTTGCTACTATTGTATGCCAGCTCCTATTTAGATGTTATAGATGGAACATACATTTTGATTATACAAGAAGCCCTAAAATGCCACAAAAAGGCATATAAATCATAAAGATGCAAACTCTGTGCTTAAATTTGATCTCCCTAAAGTTATAGTGTAGTTTTTGGAATCAACAGCAATTGCAAAAACTGCAATTACTTTTGCACCAAAGGAATACTTTGAATTTTATTAGCTTTCCACTTAGATGTCTGAAGGAAAATGAGAAAATAATTTTAACAACTTTTTTTTTTTTTTTTTTTTTTTTAAGGCAGAGTCTCTGTGACCCAGCCTGGAATAATGGTGCAATCTCGGCTCACTGCAACCTCTGCCTCCCAGGTTCAAGCAATTCTGCCTCAGCCTCCTGAGTAGCTGGGACTACAGGTGTGTGCCATCATGCCCAGCTAAATTTTTATATTTTTAGTAGAGATGGAGTTTTGCCATGTTGCCCAGGCTGATCTCAAACTCCTGGCCTCAAGTGATCTGCCTGCCTTGGTCTCCCAAAGTGCTGGGATTACAGGCCTGAGCCACCATGCCCAGCCAATTTTAATAACTTAAATCTCTTTAAAAAACTATCCAGGGGATTTTTCACTTTGAGGTAGTCACCCAGGCTGGAGTGCAGTGGTGTGATCATAGCTCACTGCAACCTCAAACTCCTGGGCTCAAGGGATATTTCTGCCTCAGCCACTTATGTAGCTGGGACTACAGATGTGTACCACCTGCCCAGCTAATTTTTAAATTTTTGCAGAGGCAGGGTCTCACTGTGTTGCTCAGGCTGATCTTGAACTCTTGGGCTCAAATGATCCTCCCTCCTAGCCTCCTAAAGTGTTGGGATTACAGGTGTGAGCCAACAGTCAGTCTTTAGAAAAGGAAAATGCAAGGCACTATGTTCTGTGTTCCTCGGGTTACCTGGCTGTCATTCTGGGAAAGTGGCATAGCTTCTTTGTGCCTTTTTACTTCTCATTCTTACCTGTCTATTGGTATTATTACCTGTCCTGCATATGTCTCAGGGCTGTGGTTAAAGACAAATGAGGTTTTAAATGTATTTTCCATGCCCATCCTCATTTCCACCTTCCTTGCATGTGCGACTGAAATGCAGCTTCCACCAGAATATATTTTGTTGGTCAGGGTCAACAGCTCCTTTGCCCTTTTCTTCCTGTGAGAAATTAAGATGATGCTAATTTGCTTCCTAGATAAGGTCAGAATTCAGGTACGTTGGTTAACTAGTATCAGTGTGCTACGTAATTTTTCAAGTGATCAAATAAGCTACAGATTTTGGGGAAGATACTAACATCCAGCTTTTAACTAACTTTCTGCTGTGTGGGTCTGATTGGTGGTGTTTTCTTAGATTGCTTAATTCCATTCAGATACGTGGTTTGGGAAAAAGGCTGCAGCCTGATTGTAGTTGTGTAGAACTTAGAATTCATGGTTTAATTAGGTTATATCCCTATTTTAAAAAAATGCTGCAGGCCGGGTGCAGTGGCTCACACCTGCAATCCCGGCACTTTCGGAGGCTGAGGCGGGCGGATCAGGAAGTCAAGAAATCGAGATCGGCCGGGCGCGGTGGCTCAAGCCTGTAATCCCAGCACTTTGGGAGGCCGAGGCGGGTGGATCACAAGGTCAAGAGATCGAGACCATCTTGGTCAACATGGTGAAACCCCGTCTCTACTAAAAATACAAAAAAAAAAAATAGCTGGGCATGGTGGTGCGTGCCTGTAATCCCAGCTACTCAGGAGGCTGAGGCAGGAGAATTGCCTGAACCCAGGAGGCGGAGGTTGCGGTGAGCCGAGATCGCGCCATTGCACTCCAGCCTGGGTAACAAGAGCGAAACTCCGTCTCAAAAAAAAAAAAAAAAAAAAAAAGAAATCGAGACCATCCTGGCCGACATAGTGAAACCCCGTCTCTACTAAAAATACAGAAATTATCTGGGTGTAGTGGCCTGAGCCTGTAGTCCCAGCTACTCGAGAGGCTGAGGTAGGAGAATTGCTTGAACCCAGGAGGCAAAGGTTGCAGTGAGCTGAGATCGCGCAACTACATTCCGACTTGGCGACAGGGCGAGACTCTGTCTCAAAAAAAAAAAAAAAAAATGTTAAAATGAAGTGATGTGCCTGAACCTCCCTGAAGAGGTCTCTTAGGGAGGCCTCCAGAACGAAGTATGCTCTCAAGAAATTTGTTTTTTTTTAGAGATGGGGTTTCACCATGTTAGTCAGGATGGTCTCAATCTCTTGACCTCACGATTCGCCCACCTCGGCCTCCCAAAGTGCTGGGATTACAGGCGTGAGCCACCGCGCCCGGCCTACTCTTGAGGAATTTGGTTGTGAGGGAGATGCTGTCAGCAGTTAGGGCTTTACAAATCTAAGCATAAACATTGCTGACAATTACTTGGATTTTTTTCCTGTTCTGCATCTAATGATAAGATTCTTATAAGGATGTTCTCTTCTTGTAGCTTTTTGCCTGATTATCATAAACAAAGTATAATCATGTGTTTTTTCTTGTCGATCTTCCCTAATGGACGGTAGAGCACATGCTGGAAGGGATGTGCGCATTTCATTCATGGCTGTGCCCAGTTTCTCACGGTGCCTAGCCCAAATGTTTCATGACTATTTACTAAAGCTGTATTTCTTATTTCTCTAAGTGAACAGAGATGTGATGAGAGAATAAAGGGGAAAAGCACCCCCTAAAAAACTTATTACTTCTCAAGGTGTCCCATGTTGAGATAAAAGCAGAGTAAACCTCATGCCTGAATATGTCCTGTTTCCTAGAAGACGCCTGCCTGGTACCAGGGAGCTTTGTGAAAGGCTCAGGTAAGCAATTTAATGCTAACTATAAAATGCAAACCCACCTCTTTCTGGGATGGTAATGTTGCAGCACTCTAGAAGACATAGCATTTGAATTATTCTGGACAATATTCTGCTTAAAGGACCTAAAGCCTTTTTTTTTTTTTTTTTTTTTTTTGAGACAGTCTCCCACTGTTGCTGGGGCTGGAGTGCAGTGGCATGATCTTGGCTCACTGCAATTCCAGCTCCTGGGTTCAAGCAGCTGGGATTATAGGTGTCCACCACCATGCCCAGCTAATTTTTTGTATTTTTAGTAGAGACAGGGTTTCACTATGTTGGCCAGGCTGGTCTCAAACTCCTGACCTTGTGATCCACCCGCCTCAGCCTCCCAAAGTCTGGGATTACAGGTGTAAGCCACTGTGTCTTGCCTAGAGTCTTAATTCCCACACAAAATCAAGGCTTAAATATAAAGCAGGGGCCCAGGAGCAAGCCATGGTGAGGTTGCATATCAGATTTCTCTTGCCCTGATTTAAAAATCTTCCACTGTTTAAATCTATTGATTTCTAAATCATAACTATAATGCTGGAACAGGAGATGGGACCCCCAGCTTTTATTTAGCACTTGGCTGAAATGTAACATAGACTTCAGGCTCTTTTATATTAAATAAATGTCAGTTATTGTTTATCTCTAGTGAAATGAATAAACCTTAGATGATAAGAACTTCAAGGTAGACTAAAGGAGGTAAGAGAGCCAAGGAATTTAAAAAATTTTAAGAGTTCAGGGAAAATGATAAAATATCTTAATCTAGAGATTTTTAAGAAAGGGATCTTTTCCCTAAAACTGGGGGAGCAAAGGGCACTTCTTCGTGAACCACAGTAGCCATCTAGTCTTGTTTGTACTACAGTAAGAATAGCAAGACCATGCTTCAGGAAAGCTGTACAGTGCAAACAGCCCCCCACTGCCTCGGAGTTCTTTGAGTAGGGGTCTCTTTTTACAGAGGAGACCCAAGCTGAAACTCTCTTGCTCTGGTGTTCTAGAAACTCAGTGGTCAAGGCTGATCTGTGACTCTTCCCCAGATTCCTTGAATTAATGAGTGTTAAGGCCTAAGATTTAACATGCAATTAACCTTGTTAACAAAGGTGCCTTCATACTGAGGATATATTAAAGCTTAGCAACACAAATACACCTTGTCTCCTCCAGTGCTTAAAAAAAAAAACAAAAAAACTACTACAAGCTGGGCAGAATCGTGGTAAAGCAGCATTTTCCATTGCTTCAAGCAGAGCAAATATAATCTACCGATAGTGCTTCTTGGTTTCACTAGGGACATTAGATTCGTAGTGGTTCATTTCAAACCCAGGCTTCCCCTTTCGGGGACCGTTTTGTCACCTGCAGGCTGAAGCGTTCTTCTCAGCTGAAGATGCAAGGTTGCCCTACAGAACGTTTGGTAGTCAGGGTGGGAAGGGAGGGAAACGTTTGCATGCGGCATTTTCTGAAACAGGGTTGTAATAGCTACTTGAGAGGAGAGAACCTAGGTGTTTCTTGAGATTCCCAGGCAGAATCAGCAGTGATGAAGTGTCGCATTATAAACAGCCAGGCTTGCCACTTGGCCCTAGCTTTGGTAGCATTTTTTTTTTTTTTTTTTTTTAATCTGAGTTGGAATAAGGATATTCAGGGCCAGAGTCAGGGAAATGGAGCCACAAAGGACAAGGAGCGGGGTAGGGACGGGAGGAGGCTGAGCAGCTGTGGGCAGTGTCTCTGAAGGTGAAGCGGCCTCCCAACCTGTTCAGGGCCTCCTGGGGCTGAGGACAGGAAATGCAACAGTTGTTTCAATGAAGAGCCCTGGAGGAGAGAGATCCCAGCCTGGCTGACAGATCCAGTCTTGCCCTGCCTCCCTGTGGGATTCAGGAGGGTAAGCTGAGGATCCTCTCTGTGTGAGGACCGCTCCTGGTGCCCCGCACACCTCCACCTCTGCCATTCTCACGGAGAATCATGGAGATGTGCCAGCAGAGGATCCGAGAGTTTTAGCCACTTATCCAAGGGCACACAGCAATTAGGTGGACTCCAGAATCTTTCACAGATTGTACTGTTTCTTCTGTGAATAGCGTTTATCTTTGTTCCTGCCTTTTCCCCAAGTTTTAGATAGAGAGACTATCACCCAGATTGAGGAGGGTCTGGGTGTTTGATTTACCAACACATGCATTTTGTGACCCCACAGAACCTTCTGCTGGGTGCCTGGAGTTACAAAGTGAGAGCAGCTGCCATTTTCTTTGCCCCGAGGAGCTGGCTCGGTGACCTCCTCCAGTCATGGAAAGTCCCTTCTCCAGTTAGACTCTGGCTTTCCACTGGCTTCTCCTGCTGCTAAAATAAAACCGGGCGAATCCCTCAGTAAACCGTGGAGCATGAAGAGATGGGGCTGCTTCTCCAGCATTTGTCCGAGGTGTGAAGAGGTCATTTTTTGTGCGCACAGCTTTGCTTCTCTGGCTGCCGAATCTCTGTCCCACTCCAGCTGAACTGCTCTTATTACTTCTGTGCTTACTTTGCCAAGAGCCTCTTCATACTGACTGTTTTTCTCCAGGGACACTCCTGTTGAACTCAGCTTTGGGCATCACTCTTCCTTTCTCTTTTAAAGAGTGAAGTTCATGAACCCAGGCAAGAGTCAGCACAGATGCTGTACTACAGAAATGGCTCGCTAAGCTCTTTAAGCTCCCCGTGCCCTGCTCCACCCCAGCACGTGTGTAAATCCCATAGACGCAGCTGAATGACTTCACGTCCCCCAACCCGGAGACAGGCACTGTGGAAAGAATTAGCAACACGTACCCTTGGAACTGATATTTGTAAAAACAAGCTTGATCTGGATTTTCGGTACTGTTGCAGAGAACAAAACTAACCACAGTGACTTTGTAGCACAAGACAGACAGACGTGATCAGAAAACAGCAAAGGCTTCAGCAGCACAGTCCACCCTTTCCTCCAGCGCCCTCTCCCCATTTCCACTCACATTTTCCCAAACAAGCTACCAAACAGGTTATGCCTGGTTATGCCTCTTACGTGTATTCACTTCAGCCACAGGGCGACTTGGATGGACTGCGCTGTTCACATTTCCTTCCTTGGTCTTTTGCGGATTAGAAACCATAGCACGTTAAGATAAAGAATTAGGTCAAAGCAGCCATAAACAGGTTCAATATTTTTATTTTTACTTTTTAAGAGATGGGGGTCTCACTCTCATCCGGGCTGGAGTGCAGGGGCACAATCATAGTTCACTGCAGCCCCCATCTCCTGGGCTCAAGTGATCCTCCAGCCTCAGCCTCCCAAAGTGTTGGGATTACAGGTGTGAGCCACTGCGCCCTGCAAATTTTTTTTTTACGTGTTGCATTAACACCACCATTTAATTGGTGGCCTTCATATGGTCTGTGGAAGCCAACACTTCTTAAAGAATAAAGAATAGGGCCGGGTGCGGTGGCTCAAGCCTGTAATCCTAGCACTTTGGGAGGCTGAGGCGGGTGGATCACAAGGTCAAGAGATCGAGACCATCCTGGTCAACATGGTGAAACCCCGTCTCTACTAAAAATACAAAAAAATTAGCTGGGCATGGTGGCTTGTGCCTGTAATCCCAGCTACTCAGGAGACTGAGGCAGGAGAATTGCCTGAACCCAGGAGGGAGAGGTTGCGGTGAGCCGAGATCGCGCCATCGCACTCCAGCCTGGGTAACAAAAGCGAAACTCTGTCTCAAAAAAAAAAAAAAAAAGAATAAAGAATAACAGAAGACTAAGTACACATTTAGGGACTTTAAAAAAAATCACAAAATATTTTGTTGAAAGCATCTTCATGTTTTTAAAATCAGGAAAAGCTTGCTGTTCAAACTTCTAAAATGGGTTTTTGAACACAGTGCAAACAGTTCAGAGAAAGAATAATACTTAAAAAAAATGCCAGATCCATTTTTTCTAACGAGTGATCAGGAAAGCAGAGGCAAGAGGTGACTTTAATTTCACAGGCAAATATACACCCATGTGCACATTTATACATCTATTTTCTGATTACATCATACTACAGGCAACAAGGGGGCCTGGTCAATACAAGACTTCTCAGACACAGAGCTGCCAGACAGTGCGAGTGGAACCTGGATACTGAGTTTTCCAACACCTTACTGGGGAGAGAATGAGAGTCAGGTGCAACCGAGAGACAATACTAAATGAGCGGTACTCTTTGCAAGAAGAGGGGAAGGGGACAGTATGTTCATCCTGAGAGCTGCTTCTGAGAACTTCAGGAAGTCCAGAACCCTGATCTACATACAATGACAGATGACCGACTCGCTGTGGAGGACTCCTGCAGTAGTGTTCCTGGTTAGAACACTGATTTCTTCCCTAAAGGCGATGTGGGCACAGAACTGAGCTGTGTGAATGGGAGGGCCGAGTTAGTACTGCTCACTCCGCTGAATTTGCTCTGGCAGCCCAAGTCCTTACCATGAGGCCTGTCTGCCTGCTGCTGCTGTTACCAGTCTCTTAGTATGGTTAGTCATTTCTCTTGTTCCTGTTGCTGTTAAAAGGGCTTTTCCTGTTTCTCCTTCTGCCTTGAAGCTGGCCAGACATCTGTGGAGTGACAAGGCCTTTCCAAGAAGGCAGAGCCAGAGTGATGAGATCCACACAGGTCAGTGAGATGAAGACATGAAGGAATATATAAGCACCCAGGCCTTGGTCGCAGTGACAGTTACTTGTTAAGAGCAATGTGTGACAAACCCCGCTCCTGAGCCCTTCTGATGGCATTGCAAACCTGGGAGTTTCTTCTGGGAGGTGGCTAGCTGGTGCCACTAGAACATCTATCCCAGTAGGGCCTGGGGTCACCTCCCCACCATATTCTAAAGAACCACATACTCCTGCTGGAGCAACAGGTGTTGCAGAGGTGTGAAGGGGGCCAAGGCAGTCTCTGGGCAGGAGATCCAAGCTGCTGGCCTTTCCGGGCAGGGCGACAAGTGGAGGGAAGAGTGCAGCAGCATTCTGCCATTGCTGGCAAGTCTCCATGAGGGTGGGAGGGACCCCAAGATGGCGAGTTGACTTGGATACAGCATCTGTCCCTGTCGCACTTAGAGCTGCAGATGGAAGGAGCAAGTGTTTCTCAGCTCCTCATGTTTGCATTTGTCCTCAACATGGCTCCCCTTCTGCCTCTCTTCTTGCAGGTGTAAATCTCCTGCAGCCCCTCTCCTTCCTGTGTGAACGCAGAGTTGGCTCTACAGAGGGTGAGTGGAGCATCTGGCAGTGGTTACTTTGCTGAAGTCACTGTAATTTTGGTGAAACAGCACCAAGATTGATCGCTCCCTCCCCTCCTCTAAATATTGGAGGTTCAGAAGACAGGGATCTGGTCTCTCCGAACCACATCAAGGTCATCATCCAAAGTTAACAAAACCTGAAATGAGAGGGATGGAGGAATGAAAGGAATGGACAGCCACTGTCACACTTAGTCCCTGTTTTCTCTCAGAGACGTCCACAGACTGGAAACTGTGAGTTCCCTCATGCCCTCTGCAGCTCTCTGCAATGCCTTGCTCTTAATCGGCACTTACCATAATTATACAATTCATTTGTCAATTAATTCAAATATTTGTGAAGCTATTCCAGTTGCTATGGAGATATAGTTTGGAATGAAAGAGAAAAATCCCTATTCTGCATGCAGCTTACATTCTAAAGAGGGCTTTAGAGATGAAACAAATACATAAGTAAAATGTAGCATGTTAGATAGTAATAAGTGCTAAGGATAAAAGTTAAATAAGGGAAGAAATATAGGAAGCTTCAGGTGTGGGGAGGTAAAAAATTTTGATAGGGTGGCCTGGGAAGTCATTACTTAGAAGGGAACATTTAGGTCAAGACTTAAAGGGCATGAAGTCCTGTTGGATAGAGTATTGCTATATAGAAATGCACCCTCCTCTATTTCTAGTTCCCTCGACTACCACTGTCCCTGCGTGGAACCTTTAGTTCCGCTTTTGTTGTCTCTGTCTCTCTCAAGAAAGTGATGATCACAAGTAAAAGCCGTAAGGAATGTTTATACGGATTGGTTAAGCTTCCCAAAGTGGCCACTAGGGGGTAGCCCTGCTCCACTCTTGAAGTTACACAGCAGGCCTGAGCCTGCTTAGCGTGGAGCGGTGGAGTCTAGTAGGGTTAGTTGTCAATTGAACCTGCCTACGGGCACCATGGACTTCTAATTGGGAAAAGTCAAAGTTAGGATTAAAGGATGAAACTATAATCCAGGGTTGATATAAATACGCATGGCTTCTGAGAAAGGGTTGGGGCAAAAAAATAGACAAACTACAGGAGAGATTTGGGACAGACTGGTCAGAAGGCAGCAGAGGCATAGCTGCTATCCAAGGAATCTGTAACATATTTGTGAAATATTCAGGGAGAGAGGAGGAGGAGGAGAAGGAGGAGGAGGAGGCGGAGGAAGCAGAAGAGGAGGAAGGAGGAGGAGGAGGAGGAGGAGGAGGGGGGAGGAGGGGGAAGGAGGGGGAAGGAGGGGGGGAGGAGGGGGGGGAGGAGGGGGAGGAGGAGGAGGAGGAGGGAGAGGAGGACGGGGGAGGAGGAGGGGGAGGAGGAGGAATGTGAGTATGGCATAAGAAGGAATAACCCCATGTTATCAGAATTGCTAGAAGTCATTCCTGCGGAAATTCTGGGCACGTGGGTCTAATAACCAATTCAGGACAAATGTGCTGTGCTATTTAGCAATTCTGGGAAATTCTGGGCACATGAGTCTAATAACCAATTCAGGACAAATGTGCTGTGCAACTGTGCTGTGCAACTTTTGTCCCTCTGTGTCTCAAGATACCAAAGAGTAAAGAAAAACTAAAGATCTAACCAAAGGATACAAAATTTTAGAAAGAAATAAGATGGTCTGTACATTTAATTACAAAGAGGAATTGGAAAGAAAAATTAGAGAGGAATATAAAAAAAGGATATAAGGAAGAGCAGTAGAAGAAAATGAGAGTACAAGATGTAAACAGAGAAGATAGTCACAAAAAGATAGATACAAACTCACCAAGAATGAGAAAAACAGAGCAGTAGCAGAGAGGAAGTGCCAGATGTCATGGTCGTCGAAGAAATCCAGCAGAATACACTCGCGATTCTTCTCCCGGGATTCGGCCGGGGTTCCCTGGAGGAAAGTGAGGCAGGGCATGGGCAAGATTCCCACAGTTCAACTGTTCAGAGTTGAGCGTCCGAAAGCTACAAAAATGCTACTAGTTGTCTGGTTCAAAAAGTTAGCTTCCAAGGAAATACACATCCACACAAAAACCTGTACACAAAGACCTCAAAAGCACAGGCAACCAAAACAAAAATAGAGAAACGAAATTACATCAAGCTACGAAGCTTCTGCACAGCAAAGGAAATGGACCAATAAAGTGAAGACACAACCCACAGAATGGGAGAAAATATTTACAAACTATCCATCTGACAAGAAATTAATAACCAGGATAGATAAGGAGCTCAAACAACTCTAAGGGAAAAAATCTAATTTAAAAATGGGCAAAAGATATGAATAGACATTTCTCAAAAGGAGTCATACAAATGACAAACAGGCATATGAAAGTTTCATTGATCATCTGACAAATGCAAGTCAAAAGTACAATAAGATATCACCTCACCCCTATTAAAAAGGCTTGTATCAAAAAGGCAGTAACGGATGCTGGCGAGGATGTGGAGGGAACAGAACCTCACCCACTGTGGTGGGAATGTAGATTGGTACAGCCACTGTGGGGAACAGTGTGGAAGTTCCTCAAAAAACTAAAAATTGAGCTATGGCCGGGTACGGTGGCTCGGCCTGTAATCCCAGCATTTTGGGAGGCCAAGGTGAGTGGATCACCTAAGGTCAGGAGTTTGAGACCAGCCTGGCCAACATGGTGAAACCCTGTCCCTACTAAAAATGCAAAAAAGATGAGCTGGGCATGGTGGCGGGCGCCTGTAATCCCAACTACTCAGGAGGCTGAGGCAGGAGAATCACTTGAACTTGGGAGGTGTTGCAGTGAGCCAGGATCATGCCATTGCACTCCAGCCTAGGTGATGGAGTGAGACTCTGCCTCAAGAAAAAAAAAAAAAGGAAAGAAAAGAAAAGAAAAAATAGAACTACCATATGATCCAGCAATTCTACTACTTGATATATATCCAGAAGAAAAGAAATTAAAGAGATATCTGCACTCCCATGTTTATTATATAGCATTATTCACAATAGACAAAATATGGAGTCAATCTAAATAGCCATCAACGGAAGTATGGACAAAGACAATATGGTCCATAGATCTACACAGAAAATGTACATATACATACATACACGCACAATAAAAAAGAATACAATCCTGTCATTTGCAGCAACACATATGGAACATGGGGCCATTATGTGAAGTGCATGTTCTCACTTATATGAGGGAGCTAGAAAAGTGGATCTCATGAAGACAAAGAACAGCTCGGTAGTTACCAGAGTCTGGGAAGGGTAGTGGGGAGAGGGAAATGAGGGGAAAAACGAAAGAATATACATGTATTTATTATATGTGCTGCCGAAGCGAGCACAAGACTATACATGTATTTATGATCACTGAACTGCACACTTTACAATGATAACAATGGTAAATTTTATATGTATATTTTACCTCAAGAAAAAAAGACTTGTACACAAATATTCACAGCAGCATCATTCATTCATTCATAAAGACACAAAAATAGAAACAATTCAAATGTCCATCAACTGATAAGCAGGTGGGTAAAATGTGGCATATCAGTATAGTGGATTATTATTCAGCAATGACTAGACAGGAAGTACTAGTTACAAGTAACAGCAAGTACTAGTTACAGTATGTTACAACGTGCTTGAACCTAGCACACATAAGGGAAAGAAGCCAGACACGAAGGCCACATATGATGTGATTCCATTTATATGAAATGTCTGGAATAAGCAAATACGCAGAGACAAAAGGTAGATTTAGCAGTTGCTTAGGGCTAAGGAGTCAAGGAGAAGTGAGGAGTGAATGCTAATGCTATCAGGTTTCTTTCCAGAGTGACAGAAGTGTTCCAAAATCTATTGTGGTGACGGTTGTGGTGGAATGCTAAGACTTCTTCTGTTCTGTGCCTCAGATACACCACTAATTTCCTAGGCCTGGGCTCTGCCGTCTATGGACTGGACATAATGACACTCTCGCTTGGGTATTTGTTGATGGATGGAGATGATGAGAAAGTTGCGAATGCGAAGATGAACACTACTCAAGGCTTTCGACCATGTTAAGCATCCGCTGGGACCACCATCCTAATACAATATGCAATGGAGATCAAGTCAGCAGCGTCTGCAGTGCTTACAGATTTATGAAGTGCCATCCTGAGAATGATAACCACATGTGGTTATTGTGCATTTATGTGTGGCTATTAAAAACCATCCCTTGTAGAGAAAACTTTCATTTTAGACACTGTGAAAACACGTTGAGAGAGAGAGGTAGAAAGGCCAAAATGGCAAATTGGAGAGAGGAGTTCTTGGAGAAGCAAACTAGCCTCTTACCTCCCAGCTGCTGAGATTCTGGAAGAAAAAGTACAGGGCGGCAGCCCACATCACAGCGGTGGCCACGATGCAGACCAGCGGCACTGGGAGGACCTTCTCGGAGCTGCGGAGCTGTCGGGAGAGACCAGATGCGGCCTCGCAAGACCCCGCCTGCGCCAGCCCGGGGGCCGAGGCAACCGCTCCTGGTGCCCGCTCTTACCTTCATGATGATGTAAAAGGCCAGGTACAGCAACAGGTTACAGATGAAGATGCCCAGCATGTAGGAAGCAAAGTCCCTGGGGCGGTATATCAATCCGAAGAGGGCGCTGTGGGTGTGGGAGAAATGTGGGCAGCCGTGAAAGCGGGTTTGTAACACTATTGGCTTTTCCAATGCCCCAGCCCCTTGAAGGGGAAGGGGCAGGTTCTTCTTTTTTAAAACAAAAACTTTTATTTTTAGTTAACTTCATTTTTTTAAACTCTTACCTCGTGATGCAACAGATTTTTAAAAAAATAACATGTAAGTTTTTTGTTTTTTGTTTTTTTTTTCAAAGAGTTGGGGTCTCACTCTCTCACTCCGGCTGGGGTGCAGTGGTATGATCAGGGCTCACTGCAGTCTCCACCTCCTGGACTCAAGTGATCCTTTCACTTCAGCCTCTCTGGTAGCCAGGACTACAGATACATGCCACCACTTCCAGCTAACTTTTGACATTTTTTTTGTAAAGGCAGGGTCTTGCTATGTTGCCCAGCCTGGTGTTGGATTCATGGCCTCAAGCCATCCTGTTGCCTCAGCCTCCTAAAGCCTTGAGATTACAGCCATGAGCCATAGTGTCTTGCCTATATAAATAACTTCCAATTTATTACACTTTCTTCCAAGCATCCATTTCTAACAACCATGTAAAGTTTCCATAATTGAATTAATGTAAACACTCATCTTTCCTCTTTTGTTGATGTGTTTCTCCACATTCTTCAGTTTTTCACTATTATAAGAAACACTACAATGAATAAATGAATACTTTCAGACATTGAGCTTATCTTTTTTTCATTTAAGATTAGTTCCTTAGTATAGAAGCAAAATTATCTCCGTAATTGGCTTGACACACATTGCCAAATTTTTGCTCGCTGTCCATAGTTTTCAAATTAATGCTACAGTTACTTTTGGTTGGAGTTAGCTTTAATTTTGTTCCAAATTTCTATTCAGTTATAACCTCCTTTATTACATAATTCTTCCTTATCTCCTTGTTTTGAAATGGTTTTTAATGAATACACATCCATATATATATGTATTTTTAAATCTCCATCTCTCTATCTAGTTGGGTTTCCGTCCTCCAATTGGATTTACTGACTTATATTTTTAATTTCTAATTTTAAATCAGTGCCTTGCCCTTTTATTATTGTTTTATAATATTCTAAATTATCTGATTAGGCTAGCCTGCACTGTTCCATTTGGTAGCCGCAAATGGTTATTTTAATTAAAATTAATTAAAATTAAATAAAATTGAAAATCTACTTCCTCAGTCATATTGGCCACATTTCAAGTTTGCAGTATCCATGTGCTAACAGTTACTGTATTGGACCTTATGTGTGTAACATTTACATCACTCCAGAAAGTTCTATGGAATAATGCTGGGCTAGTCACCTCTGCCCCTCCTTCCTTCTGTTCATCTCTTTTTCAAAGATCTTTGGAATTTTTGCCTAACTAGGTAAATAAATTTTAGAATAAAAGCTTATTAACTTAAATACCATTCTAACTCTAAATTTATGTATTACCTTGAGAAAGAATATCTTTACAATAATCTTTCCACCCAGGACCTGAGGTCTCTCTAAATTTTCTTTATGGCTCCTGATAAGGTATTAATTACATCTCTCTCTCCCTCTCTCTCTCGACGGAGTCTCCCTCTGTTGCCCAGGCCTGGAGTGCAGTGGCGCCATCTCAGCTCACTGCAATCTCTGCCTCCCAGGTTCAAGCGATTCTCTTGCCTCAGCCTCCGAGTAGCTGGGACTACAGGCGCCCACCACCAGGAATGGCCAATTTTTTTTGTATTTTTAAGAGAGATGGGGTTTCACTATGTTAGCCACGATGGTCTCCATCTCCTGATCTTGTGATCCACACCTGCCTGGGCCTCCCAAAGTGCTAGATTACAGGCGTGAGCTACCGTGCCCAGCAGTAATAACATTTCGTAAAGAAAGATTGTGTACATCTCTCAAAATTTATTCCTAAGTATTTAAAGTGTAAAGCTACTATTAATGGACTGTTTTGTTCATTTTGAATTCCAACTGACTTTGTTTTTTTTTTGAGAGAGGGTCTCACCATGTTGCCCAGACTGACCTCAAACTCCTGGGCTCAAGCAATCCTCCTGCTTCAGCCTCCCACAGTGTTTGGATTATAAGTGTGAGCCACTGCACCTCGCCTCAAATGACTTTTTTCTGTATAATAGAGAAAATTTTCTCCTCCCAGATTTTGAAATCTTTAGTATATGAAGCAATTCTTGTATATCCTTCATTCAGATTCTCCAGTTATTAGCATTTTGTTACATTTGCTTTATCATTTCTCTCTCTCTCTCTATATATATATTTATATGTATGTACACACATCTCTATGCCTATATATAAATACATGCATATGTATGCACACACGCCATTTTTCTTCTTCAGGACCATATGAAAGTAATTCTTTTTAAAATAACATTCATAGGAAATCATTCCACGTCTTTATGGAGCAACTGAGAAGGCGGTAGTTCATGATCAGATAATCACGGTGTATGTCTGCCATTGCACCGCCTTCATCTCTAGAGCCCCTGTTGTCCCACAGAGCTATCTATGAAAAGAGGTCATTTGCCTTGTCTTGTGCGCAAATCATGTGTTTGGTTTTGCTTATGTGAGAGACAGGGCCAAGATAGGTGATTCTGTGTCCCTGGGGTTATAGTCAAAGGCTGTTCATTATCAAGAAGTTGGTCCCTTTTCTCCTCCCAGTGCCCTCTCTTTCAGGGCCACCAGGACTGTGCAGTCTACTAGAAGCGTGGTCAAGAAGAGACCACTGCCCAAGGATCCTCTCATCTTGACCTGCCCCCAGTAAAGGAGGAATCCTTAAAGAGTATGCATCTTATCCTGAGGCAATCCCTGGGGTGACAACATGAAAAACTTCTTCCAGAAGCACATGCCCCTGAAATAAGACTCAGATTCTCATGACTTGATTCTGGCTTCTTCTGAAGGCATGCCTCTTCATTCCTTAATGTTCACTGGGATTAGAGAATCTTTTTTTTTTTTTTTTTAAATCAAAGGCCACTGACCCCGAGGAGCTCATCAGCTAGGACCCACAAATAAAAGTAGTTAAACTTACTTATTTTTTGAGTGATCAAAAAAAATATTTCACTCATTCAACTGTTTAAGTTGAGAATAGGTTGCACAAAGTAATTTTGGCTAGCAAAAATATACATCTGTTGTACTGTTCTGTTTTGAGCCATGTGAGGAACAAAGGCCATGGGGAAAGAGAAAGAATGATGGTGTAGGTAGAAAGAAAGATATCTAGAGGGAAAGAAAGAAATGAGGTACTACACACACACACACACACACACACACACACACACACACACGAGTAAGAAAAATTTCTACAGAAAAGAAGGCCTACTGGGTAGTCTTTATGGAAAAGTTTTGCAAAATAGTGTAAAGCTATGTTGCATGTTTGCAATCATTGGCATAATTATCTATCTATCCATCCATCTATCTATCCATCCATCCATTCATCTGTCTATCTATCCATCTATTTATCTATCCATCTAGCTATCTATCATCTGTCTATCCATCTAGTCTATCCATCCATCCATCCATCTATCCATCTATCCATCTATCCATCTGTCCATCTATCCATCTATCTATCTATCCATCGTATCCACATAGATTTAACAAGTTTTGATGTTTATTTTGTTGTGCAAATGAACTCAATACATCAGTGTTTTAAGAGAGGCTACAACTGATGCACGAGAATGTTCTACTGCCTTCTTTGCAGGAGATAAAATACCTGTTTTGAGTCTCTAGAATAGGCGTCCCCAAACTACGGCCCGCGGGCCACATGCGGCCCCCTGAGGCCATTTATCCGGTCCCCCACCGCACTTCAGGAAGGAGCACCTCTTTCATTGGTGGTCAGTGAGAGGAGCACAGTATGTGGCAGCCCTCCAACGGTCTGAGGGACAGTGAACTGGCCCCCTGTGTAAAAAGTTTGGGGACGCCTGCTCTAGAACAAGCAGTCCTACCTTCTCCTTAATTTCGGATTTCTCTGTAAAAAAGACAGTCAAGGAAAGCTAAACCACAGGGTTACCAACATTAATAAAGGTAAAAACATGTTTTCATAAGACCACTTACAAGGACCAGTTAACCAGATTCCCCACAACCAGCAACACCATTCTATCCTAGAAAAGAGGAAAGAAAACATCAAATTAGAGGCTGCACACCCTATTTTTCTTTTAAGCTACTGTAGTGGAAGTATCAACTATAGGAAAACAATTGCATTGGTGAAAAAATTTTCGTACGGATCTAAGAGAGCCTTACCTATGATCTGACATTAATCGTATACAAGGACTAAATGGCAAGGCTTCCAACTGCAAATAGACCTGACCTCATCCCTATGAAAAAAAAGTGGTCAGCAAAGTAGGACTCTGACTATTTCTCCCCAATATTTAGTGGAGCTGACCCATGGGACCACTTCTTAGTGGGGAGGCTGGAGGTATGCACTGATTACTTCATGGTGGCTCAAGCCTGTAATCCCAGCACTTTGGGAGGCTGAGGCGGGCGGATCACAAGGTCAAGAGATCAAGACCATCCTGGTCAACATGGTGAATCCCCGTCTCTACTAAAAATACAAAAAATTAGCTGGGCATGGTGGTGCGTGCCTGTAATCCCAGCTACTCGGGAGGCTGAGGCAGGAGAATTGCCTGAACCCAGGAGGCGGAGGTTGCGGTGAGCCGAGATCGCGCCATTGCATTCCAGCCTGGGTAACGAGCGAAACTCCGTCTCAAAAAAAAAAAGAGAACTCTGCCACTGGTACTGTGTAATCGAGGACTATTTTTCTGGAGAGTACTATTTGGTAGCCTCTATTGCAACTTTCAGGCCTCAGCTGTAGAGAGTTAGTTTTGTACCCATTACTCTGGTTCCAAGGGGGTCCTGAAACTCTCAAACTCGTGTATCTACAGTATACACTCTTGTAAGGGAGAAAATAGGGAGAAAATTCCATTTTAAAGGACAATAGGCGAGACACAGTGGCTCATGCCTGTAATCCCAACATTTTGGGAGGCTGAGGCAGGTGGATCACCTGAGATCAAGAGTTCAAGATCAGCTTGACCAACATGATGAAATCCCCTCTCTGCTAAAAATACAAAAAATTATCCACATGTGGTGGCACATACCTGTAAGCCCAGCTTCTCAAGAGGCTGAAGCCTGAGGAGCATTTGAACCTGAGAGGTGGAGATTGCAGTGAGCCAAGATTGTGCCACTGTACTCCAGCCTGGGTGACAAAGCAAGACTCTATCTCAATCAATCAATCAATCAATAACAATTACTCGGACAGAAATTTATTCATAGTCTGTCCCTGTTCTTTGCATACTACTTAAAACTTTTAGGAGAGAGTTGATTATAGTTTAATTTGCATAACCTTTCATCTATTTGAAACTAGGAATTCTTTATCTTTTAGGTGATCCATCCAATTTGGAGGAAATAACTTCATAGAAAAACATTAGTTCACCTATTAGAATGGCTAAAATCCCCAAACAGTGACAACATCAAATGCTGGCGAGGATGTGGAGCAACAGTAACACTCATTCGTTGTTGGTGGGAATGCCAAATGGCACAGCCACTTTGGAAGACAGTGTTGCAGTTTCTTACAAAACTAAACATATGACTGCCATACAATCCAGCAATAGCTCCCTTTGGTCTTTACCAAAAGGAGTTGAAAATTTATGTCCACACAGAAACCTACACATGAATGTTATAGCAGCTTATTCATAATTACCCAAACTTCCAGCTTACCCCGGCTGCCTGGGGGGATTATTAGTGGTGTGCCCTTTCACTTCCACCAGGGTACCTCTTTGGATGGTTATTTATAGGGGTACTCTGCTTGATCCTCCCATAGCTATGATCACTGTTCATTTATTTTTATTTTATTTTGTTTAAATTTCATTATTTTTTTTATTTTCAAATTTTATTTTACGTTCAGGGGTATATGGGCAGGATGTGCAGGTTTGTTTCATGGGTAAATGTGTGCCATGGTGGTTTGCTGCACAGATCATCCCATCATTCAGGTATCAAGCCCAGCATCCATTAGCTATTCTTCCTGATCCTCACCTTCCTTCCATGCCACACCCTGCCCAGCCCTCTAACAGGCCCCAGTGTGTGTTAGTCCCCAGCATGTGTCTGTAATGATCACTATTTAACACTTGGATAGATATATTTTCTTCTTTATTATATACTGGCAAATAGTTTGTTTATATAAATGGGACCGTGTTAGCTTGACTTTTATGAAAAAGTAAGTACCATGCTCCTTCCCCCACTAACTGGACCTCAGCCACCCTCAGCCATCTGGCTCTCTTGATTTTCAGAGCCCTGAGTGACTGCCCCAAGCCTGTCCCTCCCACTATTCCCCTACTTTCTGGGAGAGGGCCAAAGAACACAGGAACATGCACATACCATATACAGAGGTCGGCTACACTGCTGGATACAGTCTGTGTAGAACACCATGGCAGCCCGCCGGAAAATTCCCATATCTGCTGATAACACAAATGCATGGTCAGAAGGCTTAGTCAGAGAAAATACAAATACTCTGAAGTTGGGCCAGAATGATGTCATCCTTACTTTCATTAAAATGCATTACAATGCTTTGCACCTAATAGGTGGACAATAAGTATTTGCTTAGAAAAAGTGATATTGTCATGGAGGGATGCCATATCCATGTATCACACAGCAGAAAGGCAAGAAAGATGGCCACAAGCAGCTAGCACATGGCGGCTGGCCGACTCTTATTCCGTCTCCTTCAGCTATTCTTCCCTTTGTTGACAGTTTACCCTGGTGGTGTTTTCTTTATCATAGAGATGTGGGTGTCCTTTATAGTAGAGATGTGAGGTCACCCACAATATCTCTCTAGAGGATGGGAAATCTTAGCCTGTAAAGGTTCAGAGGATGCTCTCTCTAGAGGATGGGAAATCTTAACTTATAAAGGTTTGGATCTGTATTTCTCAAGCAGTTATAATTTAGTAACAATTGAACTAAAGGATCCTAGGCTCTACTAAGTATGTTCAGAAAGTCTATCTGAACTGAAACGATCATCAAGGGAAAGTAAGTTAAGATGGGGAGAAAAAGACAGGAAAGTTTTTTAAAACATTTTAAAAGGATGATATGAAATGCAGCAAGTGTGTGTGTTATAATGTTACATGAACAGTCAGGGTCAAAGGTGGGCTGTGTTTCTGTGAGCTGTCCACGGCGTAGACATCGAATGCCTGTCTGGGTCTGCCCAAAGCGAACATTTTCAAGAGTGTGGCTCTCAGCTCTGTTGTGAATCCTATTCCTCCTCAAGGTTACCCCGCGTAAATTTAAGCATGAGGGAGAAACCTGTTTCTGTGGCATTTCAGAAGAGGCGTGAAGCAGGCTAGGGTGGGTGCAGCCACCCCTCTCTCTGGCTTCCTCCTCCCCATGGAGCTGGCCCAGCCTGCAAGAGGGTGTTCAGGGAGCAGGGCTGGCAGGACAGCCAGGTGGGTCATTTTGATTTAAAACAAAACAAAACAAAACCAATCTAGACGCCCGGAAAGGGTGGCTGAACATTACCTGTGTCTGACACATCTGAATCAGGAGGAAGCAGAGAAGAAAGGAGAAAAACAAAGAGAGATGTGTAAGAAAGTAACCAAACATGTAAACTACTGGTCATTTTGTTTCTTCTCAAGATGGACAGCTTTAATTTTGCTTTCTGATTGTAAAGATGTTGTTTACTTGTCAAAAAGAACACAGGATCTTTCTGCTTGTCTCAAACATTCCGAAGTTTTCAACTCCTCGAAGAGCAAATTAAGTGTTTTCTCTCTCCCTGTCTGCTTTCGTGCATCACTTGCAATTTATCATCCAGCCTCTGTCATGAGAAATTCCTCAGGTCCTTTCCTAGAGCTCTGAGATGGGCGACACAGTAGTGACTTGGGGAAGCAGCTCTCCGGTTTATGAGAGCTAATGAGAAAATGTTCTTCCTCATTGCTGCTGCCTTTCCTGTGTCCATGTTTATTTTCTTGTGTAGCCTGAAGGGCCACAGAAAAAGGACATGTGACTGGAGAGCAGAGGCAGCTTATGACATGGGTAAAAAGGTTAGAGTCAGCTGAACCATGTCCGGGAATCCAACTTCCTGCCTCTGGACTAAATTTAGACACAATCATTGTCACAACAAAACAAAAAGTTTTCTTTTGAGTCTGGTACATCTGTAACCACTTCTTTTAAAAGATAAGATAATTTAGCATAAGGCAAAGGTGGTATAGATATATTAAAGCTCCCCTGTGTATTAGTAGTCACTACCATTGCATATATCTGCAGTCAAGTTTATTTTTTCCAACTCTGGAAGAAACCAGAACAACGATGCTCCCAATTATTTTCCTTTTGTAAGTTTAGTTTCTGTGACTGCACTTACCTTCTGTCTGGTGGAAGAGCATGACTAGCGTGCCCTGCCAAGTGTTCTACACAACTGGCTCAAGTCACGGGGGATTTGGAGGTGCGCTGGCTGTGTTCATGCCAAAGGTCACTCTACTGACCACGGCAAAAGAACTAACCTTTGAAAATGAATAGTTGTCCTATTTGGTCTTCTAGTCATAAAGCCATTCGTTTATGTAGAATTGCTCTTAGATGTGGGCAAGAGGGTCCCATGTTTTAGAGGCCTCATTCCTTCATGAGTGGGGAGTCTGCAGGCCCAAGAGACTCTTTTCCTTCTGGAAATTTTGAACTCTGGGGCCTCAGAAGTGTCAACCTGCCCAGAAGGCTCCGAGCCTGCTCTAGGGCCTGCATAGCCCCCTTCCCTTCCCTTGTCTATCTTCCTGAGGGTAGATGGCACCACTAGGGCACACCTCTAGGGGCAGGGAATGGCCAAGTGGTGGCTATTTTTGGGGATGTGGATGAACATCAGATGTTGGGCAAGGGTGCCACATACATACCTGTGAGACTCCTTAAGACATAACCAGAGGCAGTAAAAAGTGTTCTTCGACCAAGAATTCTAAATTTAAACCTGGGCCTTCTAGGTTGCAATGAAGGTATATTTTTCCTTCCTTCTCTCCCTCTCTCCTTCCTTTCCTCCTTCTTTTCCTTCCTTCCTTCCTTTCTTCCTTCCTTTCCTTCCCTCCCTCCTTTCATGTGTTTAATAGCTTTATAATCGGCTTTATAACTTTGATGTTCTTACACATATGCTATGCAATGCTATGCAGGCTTTTATTTGCACTCTTGCTCTGGACTTTGTTAATATCAGAGGTTTTGCCTATGTTTACATACAATAATTTGCCTTGAAATAGACAAAAGGATATATAAGTCTGACTTCCTGGAACTTAAAATGATTTTTAAAAATTTAAATGCTCTAAAACCACTTGAATCTGTTCCCATATATGATGACTGACCAACGGCAGATCGCAAGCTGATTTCTGTAAAACATTCAATGCTCTCTGATAAGTTGGAGGGAGCTCAGCAGGTGTCCTGCCTCTAAGATTAGCAAATTGGTCTCAAAATTTCCAGCCCTAGAATCTGAAAATATATAATTCATTCTTGACAGCCATTTAGCATGGTTAGAGAAATACTCCCTTCAAATGGTGCAAACTGAAAAATGTTCCTCTAGGTGGAAGTACTGGTATGATACAATTCACCAAATACAAGTGACAGTCTGGCAGACTGTGAAGTGTCTGCAACCAGGGGCTGGTGGTACACCTCATCTCTGAGGTGTGGCAAACCTTATTTTCTCAGCTGAAAATAGAACTAGTGGTAATAACTTATCACTATCCTGTAAGGGAGAGGAAGCTCTTGAAAGAATATATGCTATTAAACATGGCATAGAATTCAGAGCATGTGTTCATGGTGACCAGTGACACTTTCAGCATCAGTAAAGGCAATGTCTGCTTTTTCATTAAGGTTGATTTGTGTGTTTAGTATAGAACTAACAGGTAACTCACCTATCTTGAAACGACCCATGTAATAGATCTGGGTGCTGAGGGCTAGCGAGGCCAGAACGTGGATTGCAGAGAAGACAACCCAGAACCACACGTCATTTTTTCCAAACACCTAGGAGTAAAGATGGAAGTTACCTTCATCTGAGGTTTCCCTTAAAAACTCAACAAAATCATTCTCTCCCCCATATGTGTAAAGAGTCAAAAACAGCTGTGTGCACATTCTGTTTTTCTCCCATTCTAGAAACTCCCACGGATCTTACTGCCCAGTGAATGGGGGAAAGAAAAGTGGTTACTGGGCCAAATAAAAATGGAAAAGGGGAGAAATAGGAGAGGCAGCTGAATAGCAATGGTGAAGGGGCAACAGATCTAAAGTAGGGGTGAATGCACTTCCAACAACCAAAACAGCCAACACGTGTCGTCCACACATATTTAGAAGCTGGTTTCTGTTTTTTCAAGTCAGTCTCTCCAGTCAGCTTATATAGCCCTATTCCACTTTCACATGAGTCAGGTCCAGCTTTATACTAAAATTATCCTGTGGTAGTTTTACAGGTGCCTAATACATTGTTTAAAACTAAATAACTAAATAACTAAGTAAAAGTGTGCCATGAGTGGTCCAGTGATGAAAGTATATCATCAACTGAGGATTTGGGTTAATCCAAACCTGTTCAGCTGATTGTTGCTTGTTTATTGGACCTAGGGGGGCACTTTCTGAGAGCCAGATGGAAGAAGGTGGGGGACGCACCACTCCAAGGACGGTGAGCATGATGACCAGAGCGAAGGAGGCGTAGGCGGAGTAGGCGCTGGCATTGATGTCGGGGTGGCGGGTCTGATAGAGCTTCAGCATGCACAGGCCAGCGATCATGTACATGAAGGAGGTATCTGAGGACCCAAAAGAGGAGCCAGACGATCAGGATTCAGTAGGTGACAGAGAGATGATAGTTTCTAGATTTTCCTTCAGCCTCTGAGTACCCCCTCACTTCAATCCATGGACTATTTGCTACCCTCAGACGGTGTGGAGACCTCTAACGTGTCAGCCTCCTGACACATTCTCTAGGCACACCCGACGTACTCCACTTTTAAACCCCTCCAAGGCTGCCTTTAGGTCACAGAGGGAAAACATCTAATAAATAAATAACTCCTCTTTCACAGAAGAGGAGTGCCTGATATGATAAACAAGCAACTATCCCCACTTGCAGGGGTAATGCGTTTTAGATACCGCTGTTCAACAACAACAACAGAGGATTTCCTAATGGCGACACTGCAGGCAGTGTGACAATAAAATGAGTCCCAGATGGGTGTGGGAGGTTGTTCTCAGCACCCTGAAATATAACCACATTAATTACTGCACATTTATAGCTTTATAGCCTAGTGATGGAAAATAGCTAGAAATAAAATGTAGCTTACTGTATTTGAATTGTGGAAATGCATATAATTGTAACAATGCAATATCCCTATATTACTCAAAAACTTAGTGAAAACTTTAAATTATGAAAATAACAAATGTTAGTAATTATCTGGTGTATAGGAAGTCTCACATAGCTATTGGGAGTGGGAATTAGTGCTCTGGAGAGAAATTTGTCAGTTTTTGGTAAAAGAGAAGCTGCATAAACCAAGTAACTAACAAATTGTACTTCTAGGTATCCCAAGGAACCTCTCTTACGTACATATGAAGAGGCCTATATAAGGATGCTCACTGCATCATTGTCCATAATGGCAAAATATGGTAACATTTAAATGCTATTCAATAGAGGAATTCATAAATGTGATATTTTTTATTATGCAATATGACAACCCTTAAAATGAGTGAATGACCTGTCTTTGATATAATATTGATAAATCTTAAAACTATATTCTTGAATAAAAAAAGGCTGCAGAACACAGTAAGATAAAGTACTATTAATTTGCTGCAAATATAGAAAAATTATAAAAGCAAACCAGAAAAGTAAATGTCAAATTAATCATGGTTGTTGCCTTTATGGGAGGAAGGAGGGAAGGAGGGGATTAAGTTTGAAGTGTATCAAAACAGGACCTCAACTTTATCATAGTGTTTTATTCCTTAAAAAGTAGATCTAGTGGGAAGCCGAGGCAGGCAGATCACCTAAGGTCAGGAGTTCGAGACCAGCCTGGCCAACATGGCAAAACCTCATCTCTACTAAAAATACAAAAAATTAGCTTGGCGTGATGGCATGCACCTGTAATTCCAGCTACCCAGGAGGCTGAGGCGGGAGAATCGCTGGAACCTGGGAGGCAGAGGCTGCAGTGAGCCAAGATTGCACCACCACACTCCAGTAAGACTCCACCTCAAAAAAAAAAAAATAAAATAGAGCTAAGGCATATATTTTTAAATGTGGATGTCTGTTCATTCTGAGTGGTGAATGATATTATTCTTGCAGTTTCCTCTATTAAAAGTGTTTTTGTGGTGCTCAGAGTTAACAGCCAGAAGCCAGAGCATAAACATTAAATGACCATTTAAAAAACCCTCATCCTTGAGCATGGAGGACATTGCTACTTGCCAGACAGCATCAGCTTTTCCCTTTTTCCTTCTTAACAGCATCTCAAGTACTTCACTCAATGTTTACCCTCTTTCAATTCAGAAATGCACACCGTCCCAGCCCCTTTGCTTCAGGAAAGCTAATCCCACCTTTGGCTCCAGGGATGGGGCTGATTGGTCTAAAGATAGTCCCATCTTTTTTTGCTGATTGGCGAAGCAACCTGGGCCTGAGCTAACCAGCGTTTAGAGAATGATTCAAGAATGGGCTCATGGGGCCAGGCATGGTGGCTCACACCTGTAATCCCAACTCTTTGGGAGGCATAGGTGGGCAGATCACTTGAGGTTAGGAATTCGAGACCAGCCTAGCCAACATGGTGAAACCCCTTCTCTATCAAAAAATACAAAAATTAGCTGGGCGTCGTGGTGCAGTGCCTGTAGTCCCAGCTACTGGGGAGGCTGAGGGGAAAGGATCACTTGAACCCCTGAGGTGGAGATTGCAGTGAGCGCAGATTATGCAACTGCACTCCAGCCTGGGCAACAGAGCCAGATTCTGTCTCCCAAAAAAAAAAAAAAAAATGGGCTTATGACTATTTAACCTATTAAGTTGTGAAGGGATGTTATCTGTGGCTTTCTCAAAAAGCAGCATCTTGCTCTTAATTGAAGGCTCCTGGAAGCCAGCTTGCTGCCTCCTCTGGAATTGTTGGCAGGAGCTATGAAGCCCAGGCCTGCTATAGCTACTTTTGCCACCATCAGGGAAGATTGCCCTGAGGATAAAACCAACATACAGGCTGGGTACAATCAAAGAGATCACAGAGAAATGAAGCCAGAGCCACCAGATAAATCAACCACAAACCCTTTCTACCCTTTCTACATCTGGACGTCCTATTATTCAATCCAACCTAAATTGGGTTTTCCATAACTTTCATCACAAAGCAATCTAACTACTCAATTATGCCATGCTCTGTGTGGAGGTCCTCTCTGAGCACTTCAACTCACATAAAATGCCATTTGATCTTGCAGGCATGACTTTGGCATTTTTGGGGAGGGTTCCAGGATAAAACTCATGATTCAAATCTGTATCATAGATACAAGTTCTAGTTACCGAATTGGAAGTTGGAATAATTAGGGCAGACATGGTAGCAGGCACTGAGCACCCCTTCCATGATCAGCGCGATGCCCATAGCGTAGAAAAGACCAAAGTGTTTGGGAATCCCGTACTCCTGAAAAAGGAGAAAGGTGGTCAATAGATACTAATTAGTGCCAAATCCACCACCTCACTATTCCAGAAGCCCATGCTTCCAGGCCTCATGTAATTTATTACACGTAACAAATCATCACACCATCAAGCCAGATGTCCCTCCCCTTTGCAGATCCTGTTTGGATCCATTAACCCTTCCTAGCATGCACCCACTCTCTCCTCACCATAGCAAAGATGTCCTTGGCTTCTAGGGCTCTCCGATGGAGGATGTCCCGGCGCAAGACTATCAGCAGGAAGAGGATGCCCAGAAGCACATGGCCCAGATTGCTGAGAATGTTGTTGAAGGCACTACAGGGATGAGTGAGAGACCATGAGAGAGTCAAGGCCGTCAAAGGGACCCAGAGGATGTATGATGCATGAAGGTATGAGTAAACTCAGCATCAGTGTTTTCCATCAATCTTTCCATAAGGTTTCAGGATCAGAAAAGTATTAGAAATCCTCTTTAACCTAACTTCCTTCATTTTATGCTGCTTACATAGCCAGTGACAACGGGTGTCTTGTTTTCTCTCAAGCATGCCTGCTTGGCTTCCTAACACCCTCCCATCCTCTCTTGTCCTGTTGGCATTTGTATTGTATGAGTCCTGGGAAGGACAGCTGCTTCAAAGACGAGCAAATGTTTCAGCTACACAGTGAGACTGAGTTCTCACAGGCAGACCTTTGTATGTGTTGATATTCAGCTCTCTGTGAATTTCAGAAAAGTGTCAACCAATCATAGCCAGCAACTTTATTTGAGGAAACGAAGGCTGGGTCAGCTCTGGAGCAAGAAGCCAGACTTCCAACTCCCAGGCAATGCTTTTCCCATGTCACCAAGTTCTGGTGGCTAGAGCATGGCCTTGGGAGGCCACAGGGCTGGGGTTGAGTTCTGACACTACTTAGCAGCTGAGGGACCTTCAGCCAAGTCCTCACCTGTCTTCATCTAAAAATAGAGATCATAGTAATGTCTATCTCATGAGGTTGTTTAGCGGGTCGAATGAAACAATAGGCTGCCAGCTCATGCCTGTGAACAAATGTCACCACAGCTAGAGACCTGACATTTGAAAAAATGTCACTGCCCTCATCTCAGCAGGCTGTATCCTTAGGAATGTTTCCGGAGAACCACATACAGAAATGAGAGGCGCATACCTGGTCTCAACTTCTTGGTTTAGTTCCTCTTTACCCTTGAATGGGGTCATTTTCCACAGTAGTTTTTAGTATTTAAAAAAACCAAAATCACAGCATTAGACAGAAAGGCATCTCTAAATGCCTCATGGGCAACCAGAGGACTGGGTTTACCTCAGGACGCCCAAGGGGTGAGCACAGAGGAAGTTGTAGTAACAGATGTCCTGGTTGCCAGTGACATTTACCACCTGTAAAATCAAGAACGAGAAGAGGAAATGTGGTTTTTCCTGGGTCCTCCAACCTCCAGCCGGAGATCACAAAGAGTGGGCGGGGCTCACGGAGATGCACTGTCACTGGTTTACAATGTAACCAGTGCTCCTCTGCACAGATGGGCCATTAGCTACCACCTTACACAGCACAGGCACTTTTTTTTTCAAAAAAGCTTCCAACTTGCTTTGAATGGGAATATTCTGTGTACCCGCTTATGCATCCCCAAAGTGGAATTCACCCAAATGCGTTTACTTTGTTATCATGATGAAAGGACTATGAAGGGAGGCTAACACTGGGACCTGCCTTTCAGGACTGTCACACTATTTTCTAGATGAATGCAGAGGGGATACAGAGCTGTCCCATCTTCTGGGTAAAACTGGTAAACATGAGGTAGGTAGAGACAAGGTGATGTGTGTTCAGCTTTCCCTGTTTATAAGCATCTCTGTCAAGAACTTTTTCAAACCACAGTCCAGGTGTATCTTCTGATGGTCCCCCAAAGTATGCAGAGAATATTTAGATTATAAACAGTGGTACTCAAACCTCATGAAGTCCCTGTCCTCATTACATAATAAGTGTGGCAATGGATTACATTTTATTAAATCCTTCACACACAAACATGGCCGTACATTGGAATCACTGGGGGTTTAAACATTACAGATGCCTGGCTCCTCTCTCAGAGCTCTGATCTAATTGGCATGGTTTACACTGGGATTTGTAAAAGCTTCCCAGGTGAGCTTAATGCAAGGAGAGTCTGAGTGCCACTACATTAGAAATAACTTCAGCTTTGTGCTATTGTAAACGGACTTTCTACTGTGTAATAAATTCTAGAGAAGGCCACTGAAGTGACGTTGGCCTAGGGTTCTGTGGAGGAATGGGGATTCTTAAACTACTTTAATACTATTTTTGCTGTAAAAATTTTATATTTTCTTTTTACTGTAATCTTTTGTTAGTTTCATGAAGCTTTTCTTTCTTTCTTTCTTTCTTTTTTTTGTTTTTGAGACATAGTCTCACTCTGTCACTCAGGCTGAAGTGCAGTAGCAGAATCTTGGCTCACTGCAACCTCTACCTCCCAGACTCAAGCAATCCTCCCACCTCAGCCTCCAGAGTAGCTGGAACTACAGGTGTGTGCCACCACACCCAGCTAATTTTTTTTGTATTTTTGGTAGAGACAGGGTTTTGCCATGTTGCCCAGGCTGGTCTTGAGCTCCTGAGCTCAGGCAATCCACCTGCCTACGCCTCTCAAAGTTCTGGGATTACAGGCGTGTCCAGCTGTGAAGCTGTTTTAAATTTTACAAAAAATATTTACCCTCAATAGGAAGGCACAGACTAGATTAACTATCAGGTTCCTTTGTTTTGGTCTGGAACTTTACTCTATTCATTATCCTATAATGATCAGAAAGCTCAGAGTGTTATATAACAGATGCAGTTGATAGATATCATAACTGAATGAGCACAAGGTAATAATTTCAGACTGGTAGACAAAATAATACAAGAGATTGCAGCTGCCTTTGTGATAAAACAATTGGGAACTAGATTGAAAGGTAAGTTAAAGATGAGGCAAGCCGGGCGCAATGACTCAAGCCTGTAATCCCAGCACTTTGGGAGGCCGAGGCCGGTGGATCACGAGGTCAAGAGATCGAGACCATCCTGGTCAACATGGTGATACCCCGTCTCTACTAAAAATACAAAAAGTTAGCTGGGCATCGTGGCGCATGCCTGTAATCCCAGCTACTCAAGAGGCTGAGGCAGGAGAATTGCTTGAATCTGGGAGGTGGAGGTTGCAGTGAGCTGACATTGTGCCATTGCACTCCAGCCTGGGTGACAGAGGGAGACTCCATCTTAAAAAAAAAAAAAAGGGCCAGGTGAGGTGGCTCACACCTGTAATCCCAGCACTTTGGGAGGCCGAGGCAGGTGGATCATGAGGTCAGGCATTCAACCAGCCCAGCCAACCTAGTGAAACCCCTTCTTTACTAAAAATACAGAAATTAGCTGGGCATGGTGGGGCATGCCTTAATCCCAGCTACTTGGGAGGCTGAGGCAGAAGAATTGCTTGAACCAGGACCTGGGAGGTGGAGGTTGCAGTGAGCCAAGATTGTGCCAGTGCACTCCAGCCTGGGCTACAGAGCAAGACTCCATCTAAAAAAAAAAAAAAAAGATGAAGCAATGGTGAACTCCAATTGGAACCCCAGTGGGAAATTCCTGAATGGATCCTAAGTTGTTCCTCTGTCAGTCACAGTGAAGACTCTCCCTGCAGAAAGAAAGCTGGGATTCTGGGGCTGGGGCAGCACTTACTGTCTGGTAGGTAATGACCAGCTGGGTCACAGGTAGCGCGTAAAACACAGCGATGGTGATGATGTTCCTATCAAGGCAGAAAAATCAAGAAATGGTTATTTTCAAATGAACAGTGGAGTCTTCGGTTAATATTTTTTAAAGAATGCTCCACCCAATACGTCCATAATTAACTTGCAAAAGTAACCAGAAGATGATTATATGGTTCCCATTTCTCTAGTCATCCTCTCCCCTCTTGCGCTGGGGCATTTGGTACACAGTATCTTGTCTAGAGGGGAATTAAAGAAGTAAAGAAAAGCTTCCTTTGGATGCTTATAGTTAGGTTGCAGAGGCAAAAACTGAAAATACTAACTGAAATGTATTTTTTAAAAGTTAATGATTGGTACCCAACAAATATTAGGGATTCTTTTTTCTTTCTTTACTTAAAACCATTTGTTAAACAGTGTAAGTAATATCTGCTTCTGGTTTAGCCAACTCATTTTTGAGGGCCTATCTCTTTAGGCTGTTGTTAGATTAAACATCAGTGTGCAAGTAATGAATGAAGATCACATGAAAGGGGTGTGGTGTCTCTTAGATAACCCAGTTCCAAACTGATGGTCCCACTATGAAATTCCTTGTGGCCCCATTGTCCCTTATTTCCTTCTGTGATCTGTATGCAAGTAAAAGAGCATCCTGCAAGAGAAAATAATGAGAGGAGCTGTCACAAGACTGCAATAGTCAGCTTCGGGGTTTCTGAGGGGAGGGAAGGTTCCTTGCAAGGCAGCTCAGCCTCTTGGCTGGGAGAAAGGCTGCGTCCAGGTGGGTGGCCATCGCAGGTCTACTTATCATTGGCTGGTAGCATCATCCCCTACTCCTGTACCTCACTAAACACTAAGACCTTGTGCCTAAGTGCTTGTGGCCCTTACAAAGAAAACTTTATGTTTACTTAAGGGAACCTATGGTCCTACTGGTCATCTACTTACCAAAAATAAATTTTATATTTTTTGCTGACAATTCTCCGGTCCTTCCTGGACAAATCGGACAGGTAAAGGAACATCTGGAATTCCAAATAAAAAGAGAACTGCAAAACTGTATCAGCTCTTTATGTGTGAGACACAAAGGCAAACTTAACAAATATCTCAATTTAAAATTGTTAAAATTCTTCAAGGGATACAATTATTCCAATTTACTAAATTTGATTAAAGTAAATCAAATTTACTTGATTAAAATTATCTAAGAATTTTCTTTTAATTTTGTTTTTCCCATGATAGCTTAATAAAAATCCTAATATTTTCCTTGGAATATTAAGGATTGGCTGATGTGGGCAACCACTAAGAGTCTTGAGTGCTTCTTATATGTCAAGAATTGGGACGGGCGCGGTGGCTTACGCCTGTAATCCCAGCACTTTGGGAGGCCGAGGTAGATGGATCACGAGGTCAGGAGATGGAGACCATCCTGGCCAACTTGATGAAACCCCGTCTCTACTAAAAATACAAAAAATTAGCTGTGCACCTGTAGTCCCAGCTACTTGGGAGGCTGAGGCAGGAGAATTGCTTGAACCCAGGAGGTGGAGGTTGCAGTGAGCTGAGATTGTGCCATTGCACTCCAGCCTGGTGACAAAACGAGACTCTGTCTCAAAAAAAAAAAAAAAAAAAAAAAAAAAAAAAAAAATTATCCAGCTTTCAGCACTGTCCACTGTATGGTTCTTGAATTATATAGGGCTGAAACTGTGCATTTCACCTTCATATCTTTTGCTGGATATGACACAAAATAATAAATACATGCCAGAAAGAAATGAGCTTTCCTCCTGAAAGATGATAAGCACAGAACCAGGGAGTTTTCCCCAGTGCACTCCTCAAATGAATCTTTTCTTCCACCTGGTTGGATCCTTCATCCTTTATTGTCCACAGTCAGCCACTTCAGACCTAGAGAGTGTTATTTAATGCCCTATGCTCTTTAATGCGCTCACTTTCTTCCTCGAGAAAAAAGGCGCGAATTAACAGAGTATTGCCTTTAGTCTGTAGGTACATTTGATTTAAGCCTTCTGGGAAATTTGACTTTCCCTGAAGGAAAAAAAAAAAGGAAACTGAAGTATTGCTGAAGTTTATTCTACTGCCAAATTTTCTGCCCTCTCAGAGTATGGTGAGGTAGAGTGGGCACCTTGGTCCGGATGATGTTTTTATCACTCTCAACGTCTGGCATGGTGTCGAAGTCGCTCTCCTCCACGGAGCTGTCTGTGTCTGACTGGCCTGGTGGCCCACCGTCGGGGGAGGACATAGGCCCTCCAGGACTGGAGCTTGACTCATCTGAAACAGAGACAACTTGTCTGCCTTCAAAAGCCATGGAGTGCCTACGGAGCCCATTCCTCTCTGCAAAAAGCACAGCGCAGACTCATTCTAGGAAACACTGTGTTGATCCAAATGAACTCCTTATTTGCAAGACGTGTTCTTTCTCTCCATTCCTTTTCAATGGACTTTTATTTTTACTCTTCTCCTGTTTTTATATTTAACTTGTCTATCTTCGGGACTGGCCACATATTAGAATCTAAGGGCATCTTCTCTGTTAACTATTTGGATACAAAAATAATATTGTACTTATATTTCATGTTTCATATATTAAAATATGAACATATATACACATACACATGCACATAGCTATGTATAGCATCTATTGCATATATGTGTGAACCCACACATAGCTAACAGCTATACATTTTTCATGGGTAAAGTATTTGTACACAGAAATCGCCCACATGCCATATCTATGATTATATAATGAAAACAACATTCTCAGGAAGAAGAATCCTTCTGTTCCCGTGAATGTTTCCCAGAGCAGATGGGGATTTGTGCAGCTTGATGAGCACATGAGCTGAGCTTACCTTCCGCTTTATTTCTTCTGTTCAGATGGTTTTTCAAAAAATCCTGTTCTTACAGAACTAAAAATAAGTAGCCTGCACTGAGCCCACATGATTCTCAAAGTCACAGAATAATAGGGCAGGGATACAGGATTCCCAGTCCCTCTACACTGACATTTTAAGGAGCACCATTCATAGGTCCACAAGCAATACAGAAGGGCAGGCAGCTCGATGTGCTTCTACCCTAACAGGACAGGTCTAGGGTGCCATTCTTTTCAGGCCACTTAAGGAACACTAGGGTTTGCTACGTGAATGACTGGGTGGCAGTGAGCAGGTTCGATTATGAAGTTAGCCAGAATGAAGGGTTGGTAGGCTACAGCCGTGTTCACCTGCAGCACTGCCTCAGTCTTCTGATCGCCCTTACTCCACTGAAACCTGAGAATGAAACAACTGGTCATTTGATGTCAGGCTCCCTGGAACACATCTTTCATGCCCTAAACCCAGGCAGGAAATGAAAGAGTCCCTAGGGGGCCTTAGTATTAGATGACAACCACTGAAGGAATTCTGCACAAGTGGGGCTAGTAGAGCCAAGAAACAGCAACAGAACTAGAGAAAGTTGGAGCTGGGAGGAAGCTTCCAAATCTCCAACCAACTCATCTTACAAGTAAAAGACAATTTCATAAGATAACTGCTTTGCCCAGTTTCCCAATTATTAGTGGCTGGAAGGCCTTTCTGTCATATTCTCTGGAGAATTAGGAAACATTTTCATCAACAGACCTGGTAGAACATACCTATTGTCCCATAATTGCTCCCTTCGGGTGTGCTGGCAGCAATGGGATGAGATGCCACCATATTTCCAGAGTCTGTTAAAAAAAGCAAAGAGGCAAACACTTTATGTCTAGTTGCTAAAACAAATCAACACAACACAATTCTAAGTAGCCTGAATCATCAGGCCACAATATCTTAAGTTTGATTTTCTTTTTACGCTAATACAGGAGTCACCAAAACTATGACCCATATGCTGAATCTAGCCTGCCACCTGTTTCTGTCAACTAAGATGGGTTTTTTTAAACTTTTAAGTGATTGGGGGGGAAAAAAAGAGAATAATATTTAATGACAGGTAAAAATTATATGAAATCCAAATTTCAGTATTTACATATCAGTTCTACTGAGACACAGCCATCATTTCCACTGGTGGGCAATAAAAATATTCTGTTTTGCAAGCCAACTTTGTAGGTTTTTATCATGTTTTAAATTTTTTGTGTGTGTCCATTAATTTCCCCCATGAAGAATAATAATTGAAGTGTAAGTTCAAAACCTTTAGCCAGGTTTTGGACTTACCCTTTAATTATCTTTGATGAAAGACTAATGCAATGGCCTTGGAGGCCCAATTTCTTTTCTTCTTTGGTGGTTTATCTAAGAGTTGGCTCAGCTGGACAGCAAGGCTTTTGGCTAATGCAGGCATTCTTGGTAGCCTAAGCTATTCCCAGGGCCCTCAGCGCACAGATCATGGCCTTCAAAATGCAGACTGTAGCCCTCAGAATGCATGCTCCCTGGCACTGTTACTAGGCTTGGAGATCCCCTGATAAATTTATTTTTAGAGAAATTTGGTGTTCCCTGGCTTTTCTTGGGCTAACGCTTAAGTACGTAACATGTCACCAATACCATCTATGCTTTTCATCCAACTTCAAGTCAAAGAAACAGGTTATCTTCAGACTCTTAAGTATAAGAGATCAAATCTTTTGAGCACACTAACAGTGCCACATGAAGATGTTGTATGCAAATTGTCTGACTCTTTTTGATTTAGAACCGATTTGGCCATAGTTACAGCACAGAGCTTTACTGCTGCAGCTGCTACAATTGCTGTTGCCAGTACTACCTGTACTACTACTGTGTAGGACAGTTGTTTAAATTCTTTCCAGGAATTTACTCTTTTAACTTTGCAACAGTCCTAGGAGGTTGATGATATTATCATCACCATTTTAAAGATGATAAAAGGGAGATGCTGAGAGATCAAGTAGTTTGCCCAGTCAAGTCAGATAGTGGATGGATACTGACTCATTGTATTGGTCTCAGTGAAAACTTACTTTCTTTTTATAAAAAATGATTTTTTAATTGTATATACTGAGATGATAATGTGATGTTTTGATATTACATGTACATAGCACATTTTGGTGTTACTGGAAGCCGTCTGATACGGGAAGTAGAAGTGTATAGAAAAATGCTAGAGTTCAGTTGTAGCAGGAGGTCGAAATGGTTCATGGGAACCAATGTTCTATGTGTGTGTGTGTGTGTGTGTGTGTGTGTGTGTGTGTGTGTAATCGAAAGCAAAACAAAACCCAAAAACTAAAATCAAAGCAAGCACAAAGAAAAGCAATCACTGTTTTGTTAGGTGACAACTTCATTAAAAAGACAAAGCCAGCTGTGTAGATCTGTCCAGACTTTGATGAATCGCTGATTGCTGTTTTCTGCTCTGGCTCATCACTGAGTGTGATCTGGTTTTGATGTTGTTGCTGGCTCTGTTCGTTTTGAGGCAGCTGTAACACCATGCCTTCTGTGATGGACAAGAGCACTAAGATTTTCGTTGCAATACAATTGCCAGCATGCAAAAATGTTTTCACTCTGTGGACTTCTATATGCATCATTTAAATATGAGATTGGCCAACATGGGATAACAGCATTCTTTTCATTTTGCTTATGTCTAAAGCCTTGTAAGAATGCAGAAAACAAGGCATTTCCTTCTAAACTTCAAGTATGGTCTGGGAAGGCAATCCATATCCATATTTAACGGTATAGTACATAGAAAGCAGAATTAAACACAAAATATCGGTTTATAGGACAGACCACGATGTTCTGGCTGGAAATAGCAGACACATACGATTGTGAATGAGCTCATCTTAATGAGGTAACTTGTTTTGATATGTGTTTCTCTGAGCTTAGCCCTGCATCTGTCTACTTCACTGACATAGAACAGGATAAGCTTTCATCCTTGCTTTTTATGTTAAATGCCCTATGTGAAGAGAAAAATTTCATTTCGAGCATGTTTGCATCTTTCAGGGGGGTTCATATTTATAGTTGCCTTGTCTCATTTTGCCTCTGAAGACTCAGGAGGGTGGAAGCTGAAGACGGAGTCAGAAATGATGGAAACTAGCGGCCATGATATTTTTTGAGCTGGAGTCTCACTCTGTCGCCAAGCTGGAGTGCAGTGGCGCAATCTCAGCTCACTGCAATATCGGCCTCCCTCGTTCAAGTGATTCCCGTGCCTCAGCCTCCTGAGTAGCTAGGACTACAGGCACGTGCCACCACACCTGGCTAATTTTTTGTATTTTAGTAGAGTTGGGGTTTCAACATGTTGGCCAGGATAACCTCAATCTCCTGACCTCGTGATCCACCAGCCTCAGCCTCCCAAAATGCTGGGATTACAGGTGTGAGCCACCGCATCCAGCTGAAATTTAATGTTTATGCCATTTGCCTACCTATCCCAACTTAGTGCCATGTTTTGTTTCAATAGTTAAAGAAAAAAATGAAGAAAACCATTCATCTTTGCAGATAGACGTAAAAGTAAAATTCCTCTGGAAGGAAAAGCTAGACAAGAAAACTAGAAAAAGAAGAGTAGAGATCTAGGGCTAGAATTTGAGACTTCTTGCTGCTGAATAGCCTGTGTTTTTTGAGTCCTCCAAACTCAGCACTCTCCTTGTCTTTTCCCCACCAGACATTACTCTTGGCAAAGAGGCTGATTCAGTAATGGCTCTATCCAGTATCCAGGGAATGATAGCGTTGGCTTTTTGGTTCTTTCTTTCTTTCTTTTTTTTTTTTTTTTTGAGACGGAGTTTTGCTCTTGTTACCCAGGCTGGAGTGCAATGGCACGATCTCGGCTCACCGCAACCTCCGCCTCCTGGGTTCAGGCAATTCTCCTGCCTCAGCCTCCTGAGTAGCTGGGATTACAGGCACGTGCCACCATGCCCAGCTAATTTTTTGTATTTTTAGTAGAGACGGGGTTTCACCATGTTGATCAGGATGGTCTCGACCTCTTGACCTCGTGATCCACCCGCCTCGGCCTCCCAAAGTACTGGGACTACAGGCTTGAGCCACCACGCCTGGCTGGCTTTTTGGTTCTTAATATATAACTGATTAGGCTTGTCAGGCTCCTGCACTTGAGAAAGTAACCTCCTCTTCTGCTGTGATCGCAGTTCCTGGTGGAAACTCAAGTGGTCCCAGAGGCCTGTTGGGGTGGCTTCATTATTCTTCTCAGTTGGTAACTGAATTTCTGTAAAGGCTCTTTAACAGTGATGTGAAATGTGGGGTTTCTCTCGGATGGAGCCAGTGAAAGATGTTTTTAGAGCACAGAGCCTTTCTTAGTACCCCTCAGAGTCTCACAGATGCCCTGTCTCTGGTACTAAGTGATGATCAGTCATTCATAGTTCAGTAAAAAAGTCCCTTCAACATCCCTGGAGCAGCTCTTTGCCCACACTATTTCCATCTCATCCAGGCTCCAGGGTCTAATGGTCTTCATCCCATCAAGTATGAAACACGTTCTTTTGCTTTTTAGTGTAGTTGGCGCCGACACAGATTTTTCACACACAGTTTCATTAAATAACTGCAGTTATATCACAGAAAAACAAACACAGAGTAGCCCACAGATCTTTTGAGTGCACCCTTCCTAACTCCAAGAGAGCTGCCATCAGTTTGGCAACTTGTAGGGACCTGGCTCCATTTCTTCCACTTCAGCCACGTCTAAGGTGAAGGCATTAGGCTAAGTTCCATAGATATCTAGCTTCACAGAGATGTGGGTAGACACTATATTAAGTCTAGTGGGATCCTCTTCCCCTTTCAGAAGCTGCTTCTAGCATTTTCTCTGGACATAAGCACCCAGGGCACCTCCTGTAACTCTGAGCTCCATTGAAATTCCCATGCCCCATGGTCACACTGATCCTGGCCTTGGGAGAGAAAGACGTTTCTGTGTCCTTGCTTCTTCCCTGCCTGTCTCTCATTAGCTTCCAGATATGGTTCATGCCTCTGTCTCTTGCTCCTGGTTGGTTTCTCAACGCTCTGTTTGAGATGCCTAAAAAAAATCACGGGTTATTCCGTTGGACAGAGTTTGTCTTCTGCCCTTGGTTTAAGCATCCAGGTCTTGACTCACTAGTGGCCGTGACATTGGGGGTGATGCCATCATTCCTTGTGTCCTGTCTATATTACAAAGGTTCCTTATTTTCTTCCTATTTCAAAGCCCTTTGCGGTGAACATTCCTATTCTCTACTTCCTACCTAAGCTGGCATCTTATTCAGGTGTCCTCATGTATTTAGATCCGTGGTTCTCAAACAGGCGGAGGTGGAGAAACAGCTTTGTCCCTCAAAAGACATTTGGCAATGTCTGGAGGCATTTTTTTTTTTTTGAGACGGAGTCTGACTCTGTCACCTAAGCCGGAGTACAGTGGTGTGATCTTAGCTCATTGCAGCCCCAACATCCTCAGCTCAAGCCATCCTCCCACATCAGCCTCTGAAGTAGCTGGAGCACAGGTGCGCACCACCATGCCCACCTAATTTTGTTAAGTTTTTGTTTTTATAGAGACAAAGTCTCACTATGTTGCCCAGGCTGGTCTCAAACTCGTAGGCCCAAAAATCCTCCCACCTCAGCCTCCCAAAATGCTGAGATTACAGGCATGAGCCACTGCACCAAGCCTGAAGGCATTTTTAGTTGCCTCAAGAATGGGCAACTCCTAGAATCTAGTACATGGAGGTGAAGGATGCTATTAAACATCCTATAAGGTATGGAGTAGCCCCCAACGACAAAGGATTATCTGGCCCATAATGCCAAAAATACTCAGTTTGAGAAAATCTGGTCTTAGAGAAGAAGACCTCACCTTAATTCTAAAAGGTTTATCTGATGTGTAGGTAAATCTGTTCTTGGCAGAGACTGGTTTAACAATAAGTGTATAATTCACTCTAGGCCAATGAAACACAAGAAGCTGCTGAGGGTTCTGAAAAGGATCCCTCTGCTGTTGTCAGGTGAAGGTGTGAGCCTTGACCCATCTCACTGCCAGCCCTGGGAGTAAATTGAAGCCAAGGGAATGGCAGGGAAATGGACCAGAGCCACTGGACTCATCAATCCCGAAGTCCGTCTTTCAGCTCAACTTCCAGAGCTAGGAGTCTCTTTCTTGATTAAGCATGTTTGAGATATATTTTGCTGTTGCTGTTGTTACTTGCAGTCACATGAATCTTAATGATGCATCTTTACTCTTTTTGGTCACTCATTTGTTTTCGCTTACCATCAGAAGGGTACCTTCAGATCTTAGTTAATTTTCAGAGCCTTCCAGAACCTCAACAATGATCTGGCTCAAGTTTCAGCTTTGTTCACTATACTTCAATGTTCAGCAGACCCTTCTGAATGCAGAATTCCTCTAATAAATATTATTGTAATAAAATGACTTTGCTCATACAATAAAAAATGACAGACTATTTATTTAGAGGCTACCCAATGGGATTTGATAGAGTGGATGTATATCTAAGTTCAACTAGGCCTAAACTAATCACAAAACTTGGAGGCAATGTAGGCAAAAAGATGAGATCCAGAGAGCAGACAAATTCATTTAAACATTTGATGACTAAAAGGGAGGGGAGCATTTAGCATTTTAAAGCCATGACAGCAGGTGTTCTTTTACAGTCTTTTATATTGACAGTTGAATGTTTATAAAACAAAGCGCTTGGGTGGCTGGAAAAACAGGCATGCTGACATTAGAGAGACAAACATTAAAAAAAAAAAAAAAAAAAAAAGCAAAGTCTCCAGCAAAGGGAGCAATAATCCTGATAGAGGGGGATAGGGAGTGAGTTTAAGTCTTTCTAAGATTCTGTGGCCTCATTTAAATGTGGAAAACACCTAAATAGCTGTGATGTGTGACTTGAAACCCAAGTTCCACTTCATATTCCTTTTTAACCAAATTCTTGCTCTATGCCAAATAACTTATGAGCACTGAGTTTAGGTTTTTGAAAAATGAGGACATTTACATTTTTAAGTTTGTTAAAAAGATCAGGTCATTGAATTCCTTTGTACAAACTCTGAGTAGAGGAAAGGATATATTACGATCGCTGGGTATTCAATTACTCTGGATTCCCCTAAGTTGTTATACTTTTATTATACTTGCTAGTGTCAAATATTTCAGTTTTCTAGACACTTAAAAAAGACTCTGTCTCAGTTTGGGAAAAGTAAACTCTGTATTAGAGTCGATACAATACATTCTTACTGTTGTTCACATATCAGCTTTGAGATAGGACAGGTATGAACAATTCTGTCCTAGAAAAGGTGAAACTTTTAAAAAAGATGAATGGCTGACCAATGATCTGCGATTATAAGGGACACTCCTTGTAAAGGTTTTTAGTGTGAGCTCCACATGTCAATAATTATTAACTACAGCAGCAGTGTTCAACATTTTTGGAACTAGGGGCTGGTTTCATGAAAGACAATTTTTCCACAGACAGGGGTGAGGATGGGATATGGCATTAGACTCTCATGAGGAGCACACAACCCAGATCCCTCACATGCACAGTTCTAATGCTGTCACTGATCTGACAGGAGGCGGAACTCAGGTGCCAATGCTCCCTCACCTGCCACTCATCTCCCCCTGCTGTGCAGCCCAGCTCCTAACAGGCCACGGACCAGTACCAGTAGTCTACAGCCTAGGGCTTTGGACCCCTTGAACTATAGAAGTGGTTTTCACTAGCTCTGCTTTTCACAGAAAGATTGCAGGTTAGACTAGTCTGTGGGATAGGAATCAAGGGAGGGTTTGTAAATTGCAAAAGGCAGAAAGGTAAAATAAGCATGAAATGGAATGTTGTCACACTATGAGACACCATTTTGAATTGAAACCAAGCATTGCTCTTACCATCATTGGACCCAAAGCTTCCATCAATGGATTTTCTCTGAAACCTGCAAACAAGCACATATACATACTACTAAGACAGCAAAAACCTCAGCATTTTACATTTTTGTTCCCTACAGATTTTGTTGCAGATTTGTCTGCTAGGATCTCTTAAAAATGTGTCTTTGGATATGGAGAAACTGGAACTCTGAAACTTTGTTGGTGGGAATGTAAAAGGGTACAGTCACTTTGGAAAAATTTGTCAGTTTCTCAAAAAGTTAAACAGAGTTACCATATATCCCAGCAATTTTATTCTCAGGCATATACATCATTTCTTCTTTCATCAGTTTTCAGATGTAATTCACATACCATAAAATTCACCATTTAAAGTGTGTAATTTAGTGAGTTTTAATACTAGATTGGTGCAAAAGTAGTTGTGGTTTTTGCCTTCAAAAATAATGGTCAGAACCACAATTACTTTCACACCAACCAAATACATTCCACCACTATCGATTCTAGAATATTTTCATCATCCCCAGAAGAGTTATGATTTGGCCTGACTGTTATAGCTGGCAAATGAGGCTGTGGTGAAGTTCCTTTTTAACAATTTTAGTTAACAATCGATTGGAAAGCAATTGTATGGACTCATAGAAGGTGATATGTTTAGATTATGTGTTTGTATTCACAGGCTTTACCCACATTTGCACTAGATTTTGGTGAACTGACAAGATTTTTCATTAGAGGAGTTAAATGATTTACAAAGCTAGAACAAGGCAGGTGGTATCTGGTGAACAAAGGAAAAACTAGTAAATGAGGAGTGTGGTAGATTGATTGCAACATGGCTGTACCTCGCCTTGTTTTCAGCTCCTTCGACTGAAAGGTAGAGTCTACATCTTCATTTCTTGAATCTAGACTATCCTCATGACTTATCTTGGCCAGCTGAATGAGGGGGAAGTAACGTGCTAATTCTGAACCTGCATCTCTAGAAGGCTTTGCACTCTTCTGATGTCTCTCTTGGAAACAAATAAGCCTGGGCTAGCCTGCTTCAGGAAGACAGACAAGTGCTGAGGCCAGCCCAGCTAGCTCCTAGTTGATTGGCCAGTGGACCACACTCTATGATAACTTCCACCTGGGATCTCTGACCCCAGCCCAGATTACAGAACCATCCAGCTGATCCATAGATTTGTGAGCAAACCTAAACATGTATTGCTGTGTGCCACTGAAGTGTTTTTTTTTTTTTTTTCATGTAGCATTGTTGTGGTAATAGATAATGAATACAAGAATCAAAGGGAAGGATGAGTATTCTGGATTGGGCAGTTTGGACTCAATGTCTGGCAATGTGATTGTGAAGAACAAATAAGAGAAGAAATCCCAAATCCCTATTCCCCATCCCCTGGAAAACACTAATCTACTTTCTGTCTCTATAAATATGCCTATTTTGAACATTTTATTAAAAATCAATCGTATTACATAAAACTTTTGTGTCTAGCTTCTTTCACTTAGCATAATGTTTTCAAGATTTATCCATGCTATAGTATGTATCAGTACTTCAGTCTTTTTATAGCTGAATAATATTCTATTGTATGGATATACCACATTTCATTGATATGCCTGCACTTAATGGATATTTTGGTTGTTTTCACATTTTGGCTATCATGAATAACACTGTTATGAATATCTGTGTACAAATTTTTGTGTGGACATATGTTTTCAATTAAATTGGGTATATGCCTAGGAGTGGAATTATTAAACATGAGATAACTCTATGTTTAAATCCTTTGCCCATTTAAAAATGGGGTTGTCTTTTTATCATTGAGTTGTAAGAATTATTCATATAGTATGGATACTAGACTCTCTCTATATATATTTATATTTATATATATATTTATATGTATAGATATAAAGAGAGCAAATATTTTCTTCCCATTTTGTAGGTTGTATATTCATTTTTCTCATACTGTTATTTAAAACACAAATGCTTTCATTTTTATAAGGCCCAATTTATCTATTTTAAAATTGCTTAATTTGTGCTTTTGATGTTTAAGAAACCAGTCTAATCCAAGGTTATAAAGATTTATACCAATATTTTCTTCTAAGAGGTTTATAGCTTTGGGTTTTATATTTAGGCCTTTGATCCATTTTGAGTTAATTTTTGTATGTATATATAATATATATGATATATATGTAACAAGATACACACACATACACACACTTTTTTTTCCTGGACTGTTTGAAAGTAACTTGCATACAACCAAGACCTGAACTTTTATTCCTAAATATTTCAAAAAATATTCTCTTACATAACCACAATATAGTTATCAAATTCAGCAAATTTAATATTGATTTGATATTCTTAGCTAATCTACTATCTGTATTCCAGTTTCGTCAATTGACTGAATAATGTTTTTTACTGTATGTTTTTCTGCTAGTGTAACATAAGATCCTGTCTGAGATCAAGTATTGTCTTTCATTGTAACATATCTTTAGTCTCCTTCAACCTGGAATACTTTCATAACTTTTCTTTGTTCTTTATGACACATTTTAATAGAATGTTTACCATTGGGAGTTGTCTAATTTTCCCCCATGATTAGACTCCAAATATGCATTTCTGGAATGCTGCAACAGTATTGTCATGTCCTTCTCAGAGTGTCACATCTGGAGGCACACAGTGTCCATCTTTTCCTTGGTGATAATAATTTTGATCACCTAGTCAATATGTTTGATTTCTCACTGTAAAGCTACTATTTTTTCCACTTATAACTACTAAGCAATCTGCGAGGATGCACTTGAAGGCCATGCACTCATCTTCATCCTCATCAAATTTCTGCACCCTAGATTTGGCATTCATCAATGATTCTTAAGCAAATCTAGTCTTTAACATGATGTTTGCAAAATGATGATTTTCTAACTCCAGCAATCTGCCAAATTTACCAGCCAGCTTTTGGCATTTTGCTGTAGGCAAGAGTTCTTTCTCCTTTCTACTATCAGTATCTGCTAATGGCTCCTTTCTCTGATGGGTATCTGTTTTCGTAAATTTATTGAATTGCTGAATTTGTATCCACAGGTGTTTAGGCCCTTCCTTCCTTTATCAACAGGGACTCATACATTACTATTTTTTCCAATGGTCTATATTCATTATTATCAATAATTTTTTTTTGTTCAAATTGGTCCTAGATTTGGCCAGCAGTCATCTACTGTTTTTGATGGCAATATCTGAACTCAAAAATTTCATACAGGTCATCAAGGGAGTTATTTTTTGAGTCAGAGATGGACCCATATTCTTAAGAAAAGTAGTTGTATCACTGAGATAGCCATGGATGGAGTTCATTTGCAAATAGTCTCAAAACTCAATGATGGCTTTGTTTTCTTTACATGTTTAAGAAGAGAAAGAATATTTGTTTATTGTAAATCTCCTGCCATTCTTTTGTAGTTGTTTCACAGAGAGCGCTACAAAGAATGGAATTCTCAAGGTTCAACCCCGCTGAGAGGCAAAGAAAGTCTTGTACCAATAGAGGCTCCAAACTCTTGGGAAGGGAAATTTCCTTGGTTAAATTAGCGCAATTATCCCCCTTCCCCGACAAGGGACATTTTACTGGAAAATTGATGTTATAACAGCAGGAAAGCACTTGGTAATGTTATATCAAAGAACATTACTCCTGCTTTTTGTTGCACGTCAAGATTTATTTTAAGCATTACATTTACTTTTTGATAGAATGTTTGAAGTTGCTTCTAGGTCTCCATGTTAGGAAAAACTGACCCTCTACAGTGAGTACTTTCTGGTATACAAATTGCCTTTTTGCTGAGTTTTAATTAACTATGAAAATAACTGACACTCTACCAGCACCTATTATATGTATATTATTGATATATAAACACTGCAGTTATACATTCTGTGGGGTAAATTATTATCTCACTTTATGGATGAGGAAACTGAAGCACAGAGAGTTGAGCAACGTCTCCAAGGTCGCAAAGTATCCAAGGTCACACCACTAGTGGCTAAGGGGATTTGAAGCCAGTCAATATGGCTGTAAGTCTGTGCTTCAAGCATTATGCAGAGACAGGCATAGAGGATTAACATTTCTAGAAATGTTTGACCTACCTCAGGTAATGAACAAACACAACAAGCAGGCATCCCAAGTAGAAAGACAGGAAGATGAAGACACTGAAAAGACTGGATTTCACATACACAGATTCTGAAGGGAGAGAAACAACTTTGGTTAGGTTGTCTTTGACAGAAAAGAAGACTATGTCTGAGACAGGACAGCTTAAAGGGCCCGCCTCCACATACTGACTCTTAACTCCTAAGAAATTTTCGTTCATAGCAAAACTGCTACTGGAGATCCCCAGACATTATCCACAGTGAGGACCTTTCACAGTGATGACTTCCCAGTAGAAGCTAGGAAGGGACTGCCTGTCTACAACTTCATGATTGAGCTCCCTTTCTTTTTGGGAGGGGTTTAACAAAATGCTGTTCAATTTCTAAGGTAAATATACTTTAGTTTTCTCATGACAATTCTCTCGGGAAGGATGACAGTAATATCAAATTATATGACTGATTTTCTGACCCAGGAATCTCTCCACTTCATTCTGGGCCAATACTGACCTTTAATGGAAGGAACAATGGTCACTTTAAGGTTCTTTGCTCGCTGTAGATTCCAGGTCTGGTTCTCCTTTTCTGGTTAAAAAAACAAACAAACAAAAAACAAGCACAATGAATCAGATGATTTTTTTGTGTCTCTTGTCTGAACAGTTGCTCAAAAAATGTCCAGAATTAACTCTAGTTGCTGAATCTGATTTTAGCAAGAACTGGAGGAATATCTAACCCCTAAACCTTCAAACCATCTAAAATCCCTTTTGGTTAAGGAGACTAGCATTAGACTCTCAATTTGGTCTTTGCTTGGGTGCATTTTGGTAGCACTACCAGATGCAAATAAGATTGCAGCCTCCCTTCTCCAATGAAGAGGGGTGGACCCTTCCCCTAACATCCACAGACATTTGGAGAAAATAGAAGCTACCTCTTCCTTTGGTTTGTGTGTTTCTTCTAGCCAGTGCAAATTTTTCCCTCTTATATAGTCATCAAAGGGCTTGTAGATTACTAAGGAACATTTGACATTGGCAAAATTTTGGAGCCACATAAGCAAGAGGTTAAAGAACACACTAGGAGAAATTTCACCTAAACATTAATACCAAGGAAATGATGTCACACTCAACCGTAAACACATTTTGTGTTGGTCACATGTGGTTAGTCACTGGCTGGTGGTCTATGTTTTCAGTCATGAGCCTATTCTATGCTTAAAGTCGCTACTGGGTAGTTAATCATAACTATCTGTACTATGCCTAAGAGCTCATATAACCCCTTATCATTGGGATAAGTTGTTGCAGTTGGCTTTCTTACTATTTTGCAAGGTATAATTTTAGCAACTGGGATGGAGAATGCTGAATTTTTCTTGTACATCACTGCACAAATAATGACTACTGATGAATGTAAGTAGCTCCATTATTACTGGCTACCACTCCTATCTTAAGGAATGGACCTTGATCCGCTGTGTAAGATCATTACTTCACGGCAGTAAATATTCGTTGAGTAAAGGGCTAACTGAGCAAACTTCTCTTCCATGACCTGAGGGAATACAATGCTTGAAAAAGATGATAGGTACAAAATGACATTTTGTAGTATCAATAATACCTTTAGATCCGTTACTTTCTTTTGTTTTTTTTTTTCTCAAGTATCTCTCAGATGCCTTTCTCAGTCACTGCTGATGGAATTAACCCTTGCTTAGTGGGAACCAGAGAGGAGCTTTCAGCTTCACTTTCACTCCTTCCTTTCAGGTGTTTTGAAGTAGCCAAGTGTTCCTCACTAGCTCTTACCCTGGATGAAGAAAGATCCTCCGCAGGCATAATCTTCAGGCTTTATCACAAATACCACGAAGAACTGCTCGCCTGGAAAATCCTTCTTCTGCATAAGACATAACAACCTTATGATATGTGGGTAAGAAAGAGCTAGAAGGGAGAAAGTCCCTGGGGGTGAGGGCAGAAAGAAAGAGGAAAGAGAAGGAAAATAAAGTTCACCCCTGCCCTCTAACTCCTCGGAAAGAACTTTCACATACCCATGATCTACTCCAGATTATCCACTCTAAGATAATTGTTACGTCTAAGAAATTAAGGTAAACAGATACACATTTCTGATTTCAATCAATTTTGTGCCTACTTGACTGCTTAGAACGGTAATAAGCACCATATAAATAATATGTCAATAGCCTATGTTTCATAACCAATGCTTACCTGTTTTTATTTTAGAATCTAATGATAAATAATTTTTCTAAAATGGACTCATTCAGCCATTAAAGAAATAATTTAGGTTAGGGAGGCAGAGGACTCACTTATCATCTTGGCTTTGACTTACTCTAAGTGTGTTTCTCTATGTTCCCATTTCCTTATCCATGAAGGAAGTGCAGTTGATAAGATGAACTTTAAGGTCCTTTATAGTTCTACAACGCTTGTCTTAAAAAACAAAACAAAACAAAACAACCCGGGCGCGGTGGCTCACGCCTGTAATCCCAGCACTTTGGGAGGCCGAGGCGGGCGGATCACGAGGTCAAGAGATGGAGACCATCCTGGCCAGCACGGTGAAACCCCTTCTCTACTAAAAGTACAAAATATTAGCCGGGCCTGGTGGTGCGTGCCTGTGGTCGCAGCGACTCGGAAGGCTGAGGCAGGAGAACTGCTTGAAACCGGAAAACGGAAGTTGCAGTGAGCCGGGATCGCGCCACTGCACCCCAGCCTGGAAATCGAGCGAGACTCTTATCTCAAAAAAAAAAAAAAAAAGAACTGGCTGGGCATGGTGGCGCGCACCTGTAGTCCCAGCTACTCAGGAGGCTGAGGCAGGAGAATTGCTTGAACCTCGGAGGCAGAGGTTACCGTGAGCCGTGATCGTGCCATTGCACTCCAGCCTGGGCAACAAGAGCGAAACCCCGTCTCAGGGGAAAAAAAAATAACCTCTAAACTTCTGGTGTCGTCTTCGGCACACTGAGAAAATGGCTCAAGACTGAAGCATAGACCCAAAAGAATACTAACGACTTATTGCCAAAGACATCCAAGGAAGAGAGGTACTGATATGCATGCCCTTTATTCATTTAGCATCCTTGGTGAGGTACAATTTGAAGTTCTCTACTGTAGTTATTTTTCTGTCCTTTTTTTATGTGAGATCATATAATGCGGGAATGCTAAGAAAGAAATACTAAAATGTAAGAGTAGATATTTGGAATATCAAATCTGAAGCCCTTGAAAATTAAAGTCTGACAGAAATTTTTAGGTCTCATACCTAAATTATAATTAACTTCTCTTTATTCTTGGCGTGTTTTTCAATAAACAGTATCAACTTACCCTAGGGAACAAATCAAGTTGCAGGTATTTTAAGTAAGTACCTCTCCCAATGCAGGGGCAAAATCTCCTTGAAAATATGCTTACATGATATGTAGACATTTTTGTTATAAAATTACAATTGAAATAATAATTTAATTATAAATACCACAAGATAAGCTGTTGCACAAATATGGTCCATATTCTTTTGAATCTGTCCATTCTGTTCAGAATTGAAGACCTCATTTGCTTACTGTTACTGGTATAGATTATTAGAATATGTTTAATGCCTTTAAATGGAGCTGACAAATTTCACCCTAAATTGACACCCCCAATGAGTAAACTGAAATCTTCCGGCCCTACCTCTCTGAGCAAGCTGTCAGATACATGTTCCATAGCACCATAGGCTTCTAATGATTGACAAGGGGAAAGGGGTAGCTGGCAGAGTAGCATTGTCTATCATCACCCAGGCTTTGATTAGATTTGTGTTGTTGTTGTTTGTTTGCTTGTTTTTGAGACCGGGTTTCACTCTGCTGCCTAGGGCTGGAGTGCAGTGGTAGGATCTCGGCTTACTGCAACCTCTGCCTCTCAGGTTCTAGTGATTCTCCTGCCTCAGCCTCCTGAGTAGTTGGGATTACAGGCATGCACCACCATGCCCAGCTAATTTTTGTATTTTTAGTGGAGATGGGATTTCACCATGTTGGTCAGGATGATCTTGAAATCATGAAGTCATGATCCGCTTGCCTTGGCCTCCCAAAGTGCTGGGATTACAGGCATGAGCCACCGTGCCTGGCCAGTCATATTAGTTTTTTAAACAATCAGAAAGAAAGGAGATCCTAGGCACATCGTGGATGGCCATCCCTTTTGGTTGCTGGCCCAGTCAATACTATCTATTGAGCACTGCCGTTGGCAAGAATGCCTACAGAAGCGATGTCTCACCTGTAGTGTGATGGCAGCTTTCTTGGTCATGGACTGATAGACACCGTTAAATTCCACATTGTGGTCGAGGTCATACACTGGGCACTGCAGCACGCATGGGGAATAAAAAGGAAAGCATCCGTAACATCATGCAATGTCATACAACACGCAGGCCCTGTCAGCATCTTTCTGCTTGGATCACAGAGCAGGGGATCCTTATTAGCCAGGAACTAGGCAAAGCTTTCCCCTTGAACAGTCATGACATAGTCTTCCTAAGACTTGGGGCCTCGTCCTCTAAGGTCAAAGTCACTATATATTGAAGAGAACTATAAAATTATTGTCTTAAGGTGTATAACAGTTTTTTTTTTTTTTTTCAATTTTCATTAACACCTCAGGAGACAGAAGGAACTCAACATTACAATAAAAATGTAAAGACAGAGCAAATGGTAAGGTTCAGTGTTAGTTTTCTTGAGCCCACAGCCTGGTCTTGCTGGTTCTTTGTTATGATCCTCCCTGCCTGCCTCCTTTCCCTCTTTGCTTTGTTGATTTTAGTGAAGAGTTAACTATTCTTTACCTCTCCAAATTAGTGTCTGCAAACACAGTCTGCCCACTCATGTTCACAGATACTGTTCATATTGTTGGGTAGTTATGGAAGGGAGACACATAGTAAGAAGATGGCATGCTTCCCACCCTTCTCTTTGATTTGTTCTGGAATAATATAATGCTCTATAATAGAAGGTTGGCAAGTTACCAGCACTCACCATGATATTCTGGACTGAGACAACAGAACATGGATAAGCCATTTCAGACACCACTTTAATGATAACTGAGTCCACATCTTTGGGAAACTTGTATAGAAAATACTGAAAATAAGAAAAAGAAAGACATGATTTATATTTACATGAATAGAATTGTTTCCCCTACTATTAGGCACAAAATTCCTATGTAAATCTCAGTGAATCACCATTAATGAATTCAGTGAGTATTCATCTCATACATAGTGAGCAACTCACTCTGTGCGGGGCTCTGGGCCAGGCATTAGAAATATCACAGTAAATAAGACAAAACAGCCATTTTATGCAATGTTGCTATTTCTTTCTCTAGGGTAAAAGAAGTAGTCATTTGTTTCTCAACTAAACTTTGCTATACTTTATTTCTTTTTCTGTTTAAGAATTATCCCACTACCTTTGAATTAAGGATAATTGAGATATAAGATGGGACAACATTCACTTCTTTCTGTGTGGTCAGTGTGACACATGAAAACTCCATATTGAAAAGCAGATAAACCTGTTCTTTAAGAATTTTAACCACCTTCCCATAGGCAAGAATTAGCACTAGACCTATCCTCCCCATTGCCCTTTTGCTCAAGAATCTAGTTGCTGATTGGAAAATACTGAGAACATACAGAGATTCAAAGACCGTGCCTTACGTAGAGTCCCCCGAAATATGTTCACAATTTTGGTCAGGCTGAATTATATTTTAAAAGTATTTCTCAAATAACACCAGAATTTGGAAACATTTCTTTCTTTCTTTCTTTTTTTTTTTTTGAGACGGAGTTTCGCTCTTGTTACCCAGGCTGGAGTGCAATGGCGCGATCTTGGCTCACCGCAACCTCCGCCTCCTGGGCTCAGGCAATTCTCCTGCCTCAGCCTCCCGAGTAGCTGGGATTACAGGCACGCGCCACCATGCCCACCTAGTTTTTTGTATTTTTAGTAGAGACGGGGTTTCACCAGTTGACCAGGATGGTCTCGATTTCTCGACCTCGTGATCCACCCGCCTCGGCCTCCCAAAGTGCTGGGATTACAGGCTTGAGCCACCGCAACCCGCCTGGAAACATTTCTAATTGAAAGAGGTTGTACTATTTACCCACGTAGATTATCAATCCACTGGAAAAATGTATTAAGTCTAAGTTGTAAGCTTCTTCCTAATGATGAAGAAAGGGAAATTCTGCCAAATAATTATAAAATATGATAACTGGTTGAGAAGCTATGCTCAACTTATGATTAAGAGTTTGAGAAAAGCAACCACAGCAGGCTCCCTGTTAAGACTCTAATAAATCTCTCATGTACAGAGAGGCAAAACAAGTTAAAACCTAACTTTGTATTTCAACATCCTATTCGCTAACCCGATTTTGAGTATCAGGGCAATAAAAATGGAATCCTTTTCAATATTCCAGAGCTTTCTGATGGGGAAAAACTATCTCAGAATTAAGGAGTGTCATTATTGATGCAGTTGGAAGTCTATTCATACCTTATAACAGAAGGCAATACCCCCAAGATCCCACTTAATTTTGGAGCTTGACTCAAATACATATAATACAGGGCCCTTCAAAAGATGAGGAACCTGGAATTCCCAAGTGTTCTTGGTTCCCAGGGAAACCATACTTTGTAACTCAAAAGCATTCCTATGATTACTGTTAGCAATAATGAGCCTCATATATGTTCCCATATATGATAGTAATTGGTTTTGTGTAAGCAGCAAACACCCACTGAAATTATTACCACCTTTATCTGTAAATTATCATAAACCCCAAATAAAGTTTTTGACCCCTGCCTGACAATCTACCTTTACCGGAAAGAAGCGAATGACAAATATCCAAAGCAATGGCTGGAATTTAGGCTGAAAAATCATTGTCTGGGTCCTGATTACCTCCCCAGTTTCTGAAACCTGCTTCTATCTCCTGGAATAGAGATAGACAGTGACACAGGTTATCTGAGAACGTGTGATCATTTGGGTGAATTTATAGAAAAAGAAAATATTTCCTGTAATCAAAGAGGATACAAAATGCAGGTCAAAATGAGACTAGTTAAGAGAAAAGTAAGACTTTCATAGCTATCAAGGAACTTGTTTTGGTTCATTAAAAATATTTCTTGAAATTAGTCAATAAATGTTGAGGGCAGTTTATCAAGGGCCTTTAGCCCTCTCCTGCCACAGGGTGGCAGTGTATATGCATTGCAGAGACTTTGACAGACTGGAAGTTTAAAAGATGTGTGGGAGTTCGTTCATTTAGGCTTGGGAGGGCTGATTGTGTATTAGTCATTTCCCAGTTGTTAATGACATCACCATGAGAACTTAAAATCAGCCATAGGGGGTACTTACACCCCAGAAATGGGCAAATGCTACACATCAGGGCTTTCTCTTTTAGAACCAGTTGTTAACTATCTACCAGCACAACAGGATTGTAGTATATTTACAATCCCAGTTTGATTACTCCAAATCAAAACCTAAGTAGCTATTTAAGACCAAAGCTATATTACAAACTAAAGAAAACGTACAACAAATAAACTTGTTTCAAATGTGCTATTATGTAGACTTTTGTCTTTCAGAAGCTATGAAAGAGAAAAGGAAGGTAGCTAGAAACAACACCAGAAAAACAGCCTGACTTAATCCAAGTTTTCCTGTATTTATTCTGTTTATGATTATGGTATAATGGAGAGCACAACAAAAATATCTAATTCTCCTAATATTTTTCGTCAACATTCTGGCTCTTTCTTTATGACAGGAGAAACTAATTTATTACCGTTATAACATTGTAAACATTAAAATCCGTCTTATTTTTGTTGTGTTTCCAGGTCGATTAATAATTTGTGTATCCGCTTGGTGTCAGCTTTTGACTGCCTGTCCCCAGTACCACTTCCCCCCACCTCTCGGGTTCATGATGGTGGAAGTTTTGTCTCTCTGTTCTTCATTCTTGTGTCTCCAGCACCAGGTGCAGTCTAACAATGTGCTTGGTGCAGAGTGGGCACACGATTTGCTCAGTGAAGGTTGAACCAAGGAATACCTGAAAACAAGTATCATGCCACCCACTTTATACCAATTAAGGTGATGAGATTAAATCTTGTGTCCAAAATTCCAGTAACACAAGGAATAAAGTGGAATACAAATATACTTCAAATTGTGAAAGGTCAAGGGCAACACCACACGCTAACTCTACCATAGTAACATAGTTTCATTAACAGACAGGCAACACCAACAGGTAGGATGCTGATGACTTTTGGAACCGCTTCACTTACCTGAGGCTGAGAGGGGCTGGCAGTAAAGTGAAAGGCAACATTTGTCCTGAAAAACGTAAGTGGCAGTAGGGAAAGGAGAAAAGTGAGAGAAAAGCATAAGTTAGTGAGCAAAAATTATTTATTTAAAAGAAAGGCATCTTAAACTAGACTCAAGGAGATCTTCACCCTTGGTGAGGGGAGTTCTGGTCCCATGAAACTATCAAAGCAGACTGCATGGGGCTTGGTGGTTTCAGCTTTCAAGAACGACCAAATTGGGGAAAGGGATTATTATTTTTGTGTCTTTAAATATCCATGAAGCCATACCAATATAAAGTAGTTTGTTTACTTTTGTAAGCACTTTTGCCTTGGGACTCTCTTGCACTTGATTTTACAATCAAGCCAGGGTTTAGGTAACAGAAGTTAGCTGAAAGAGAGAGGAAACCCAAGTTCAAGATCCTTTTGGATAATGTAGATACTATTTCAAAATCATTTTGATGGACCCATGGCAAAATGGATCATTTTTTACAAAGCATGGGGAACAGATAACTACATGGGATGGTGTCTCAGGACAGAGGCATGCCCTTCCTATCCCCAAATACCTCCCTGACTGCCTGCCACACTGGCTGAAATTCTCCAAGATTTAGTTCCCTTTGGATTAGGCATTGCCTTCCAAGACCCTCCTTTAAAATAGAAATACACCAAAAGAGGGTTTTTTTTCTCTCCAATTAGTAATTTACTGCAAATTATGTTATTAGATATTTTCATTCTTCCATGTAAGACAGCAATGATCTAGGCATCGAAGAAAGGAGAGTGTGAAGAGGCCTGGCGTGGTGGCTCATGCCTGTAATCCCAGCCCTTTGGGAGGCCGAGGTGGGCGGATCACGAGGTCAGGAGTTTGAGACCAGCCAGGCCAACATGGTGAAACCCTGCCTCTACTAAAAATACAAAAATTAGTTGGGTGTGGTGGCACGCACCTGTAATCCCAGCTACCGGGGAGGCTGAGGCAGGAGAATTGCTTGAACCCAGGAGGTGGAGGTTACAGTGAGCCAAGACCGTGCCACTGCACTCTAGCCTGGGCAACAGGGCAAGACTCCATCTCAAAAAAAGAAAAAGAAAAAAAGAAAAACAAACAAAAAACAGCATGAAGAGATAGGAGCATAAGTTGGTAGCATAGAGGGCTGTCTGCCATTAGCATCTGTGAAACAGTTCAAGAGTTTGTCACAAAGACACGTGGTCTTCTCTCTAGTTTATAAGGGCTGCCTTGGGCTTTTGTTCTCTCTGGCTCTTGTCTCATTGTTAGCCATGAAGATCATGCACACAAGTCCACAGCAGTCTCAGATCCCCAGGCTGCTGAAATGCCACACCTGGGGGTGCATGTCCCCACCCCTCCAGTGTGCCCTGCATTTCTGGGCATCTGAATTTGAACTTCTGGAATCTCTCATCAGCTTCATTCCCCGGGGCTCTCTGAAGATTTTTTTCTTTCCACTCCAATTTTCCTTTTGTAAAAATTAAATACCTGTTTTAAAATTAAAAATTTCTTTAGAAAGGGCAAGTTGAGACATTTAAGCAAGAGGTATATAATTAGAGGTGTTATTTAGAAGTCATAAAATTTGAGCGCTATTCATAAAGGTAATGACCACAATTTAGGCTGTCATCGGACTGGGCTTGGAATTTAGCTCCGAACAACAGATGCAATTTTTATATATCTACTTGCAACAGAAATTGTAGTCAATATTGAGGATTGGTTCTTCCGAAGCACAACTGAAAACCTCTGTCCTTAAGTCACCTAAGAAGCCAAAGTGAGTGTCAAACCCAGTTATGTTTCTGCTCCAGAGATTCCTTGGCCAGAGTTTGGGCCTTTGATACTGTGTGTGGGCTGGGTAGCGCCCTTTCAGCACTCTGGGCGTGTCTCCCACTGTTACTGGGACAACATGGGACCTTCAACTCTCTTTGTTACCAGATCAGAGGAACAAAGAGGACATGATTTTCTTGGCTGGCAATGTGACATCTCCTGACTGTCTTATCTGCACCCTCATCTTTCAAGTCCATTGATTCCTCATGATAGATAGCATGACATTTGCAGAAGCAACCCATATTTTTTGGGCAGACATTTTAATTTTCCCCATCATTTGGGTTTCAGTCATAATAACTAAATGTATGGAGATTTGATATTCACTTTCTGTTTTTCTTTTCTTTCTGTTTTTTCACTTTCTGGTGTGGTTCTTTATGTTTTATTTGCTAATACAATGCATGCAAACTTGGAAAACATGTTACTGTCTCTAAGACTATCATTTAAGTCCTCTGTCTCTCATGGAGTCACCAGTACGTGCAAAATAAACATTTTATCTATCGCAGGTGAAATATTTTGCTTCCTTCCACATAGATCCAACAGAGGTGGGGAAAGTTTGTTTTACTATGGGTCATCAACAGTAGAACAAAGCTAACTGAAACTCATGCATTGTTAGTTTTAGAGAAAGAAGTATAAAAATTTCAACTGATTTGTTTTAAAAATTAAACACATTTTAACATGTTTATGTTATGTTTATTTGTTAAACATAAGAGGCTAAAAAACAATTCGTTTCCTTGTTTCGGCTATTTCAAGAAAGGAGAGAAGGGTAAAAAAATGGATGTATTGAGAGACGGGGGTGCAGATAGGGAAGTCAGGAGAGGAGAGGAGGCAGAGGGGGGCCCATGGGGGAGGTGGAGAGAGGGAGAAGAAATATAGACAGGAGAGTAATAAAGTAGAAGAAAAAGAAAAGGGGTGGGATGAAAGAGTAAGTAGAAAGAGAGGCAGGACAAACTTTCAGTAGTTTTCGAGGTGAGTACCAGACAGGACTGAGATTCACAGCATCTTACTCATCTTGTGTTAACAAGCCCCTAGCACAGAGTGCAGTGGGCATTCCAAACCGCTCCTTTGTTTGTTGAAGGAAATTATATCCTCTTATTCACTTGAACTATGAACTTCAGAATGTCATTCCCTGTTCTTTCCTCCCGCCATCTGCCACGGACTCCCTTCAGGACTGCAGCTTTCCCACCCACCTTCTTGTCGTCGGTAACCCTCTGCCTGTCATTCCTCCGGTCTGAGTATAAACTCCGCACTCATGTACTGAATTCCCATTCTTTCTATCCTTCTCTGGGACTTTCCTTCTACAAATATCCAACTCTCCTATCAGGTGAATTTGCCTTTCTACCTCTTTGTTTATAAATATATTCTAGTCTCAACCATTTTCAAAATAAATAACAAATGCCCCATCCAAATGCCTCCCTTTCCCCTGGATCTCCATTCTTTAATGTCATTCTATATCTGTCCTTTCTTCACAAACCAGCTGCTTCTAGTATTCCAATGTTTATCTCTTTCATTCTTTCCTCCACCCACTGCTATCAGGATTCATTCTCCACCACCCTCTTGTAATAGCCTTTGCTAAGGTAACAGTCACCTCCTGTCATAGTCTATTCAAGCAGCTATAACAAAAATACTGTCAACTGGGTGGCTTATGAAGAACAGAAATCTATTGTTTCTTACAGGTTTACAGGTTAGGAGGTTCAAGATCAAGGTGCCAATAGATTTGGTGTCTGATAAGAGCCTGCTTCCTCATAGATGGTGCCTTCTCACTACATCCTCATGTGGTGTAAAGGACAAAGGGCCTTTTTGGGGACTCTTTCATAAAGGTATTAATCCCATTCACAAGGGCTCCACTCTCCCAACCTAATCACCTCCCAAAGGCCCCACCTCCAAGTACCATCACCGTGGAGATTTTGATATGAATTTTGGGGAATGCAAACATTGAGATCATAGCACCATTTAATTGCTAAATCCAGTGACTTAACCCCAAATGATTTCTCCCACACTTCTGGCTGTGTCTTACTCAGACCCTTATAATGGCTTCAGTTTCTCAGACCATCCCTTAAATAAGAATGTTACCCACAGCCTTGTTCTTGATTATCTCATTTTAAAATGTGTTTCCAGCTGCTGTAAATACCACAATGATCCTAGTGAATCTCAAGGCTCTATATCCAGCCCAGGGCCATCTCCTGAGCTCCAGTCACAGAAGTGTGGTCCCCTGCTGAGCTTCTACACTTGACCATCCCTGGAGCACCTCAAACTCCACATTTTAAAAGAGAATGTGATGTTACTTTCCTGATCCTGACCTGCTATGTCCTTTTGTCAGTAAACCTCACCAGACTTCTGACATCACTGTAGGAGTCATCTTGGACTACCCCCTTTCTGTTGCCTTCCACACCTGATTGATCACCAGGTCCTACTCATTCTATTAGTGTGAAAGTAACCTGCCTCCATCTGCAGCACCATCTTTTCCCAGTACAGCATCCTTAGGAGAAAAAAAAGTAATGTAAATCTTTATTGTAGTCTCTTCCAAACTACCAAAAGGTGATTATGTAGTATGACACATAGCAAAATGGTCTAAAAACCTCTTCTCCACTCATTTCTTCAAAAAATCTATTACTTTTCACAGCATGGTAGCTGAGCTATCTCACTCACATACTCTCTCTTCTTAAAACAGACTCAAGATCCCTACTTGGAAGGCTAGGGAAGGGTTGAAGCCTGCAAGTATTCATGGAGGACTAAAAATTTTATTCTGCCAGCATATATTTGCTGAATTACAAATTATCTCCATGTGTACTATTTGACTCTTTTTTTCCCTTACAACCTTGTTGCTGCCATATACATTCAGTTCTAATCACTTTTTATTCTTCCCCATTCAAATAACTTTTCGTTTGCCTATTTACCCCTCATCTTTCTTCTGTGCAATTCATCTTCCATGCTACCTCTAAAGTCATCTCTAGAAATCAGATCTGTTAATGCTATTCTGTTGTTCACAATCCTTTAATGGCTCCCATAAGCTGAAACATGAAGTTCTACTCCATAGTCTAGCGTCCAACATCTTAAAGATTAAAGTTGGGCAGTGCCTGTTTCCCCAGCCCTGTCTCCTGTAACTCCGTCTTGCCCAGGCATCACGTGGACCAGGCATCTCCAAGTGTTCCCGAAGACTGCACTAGTCTGCTTAACTATAACTTGGAGCTCTCCCCTAGTGTCATGTTAGTATATATGCAACACTTTGTCAGATATCTGTACTTCAAACTCAACCTGTCCCAAAGTGAAGTTATCATCTAATCAGTTTCTCTTAGTGGCCCCACTGTCTATAAGCTACAATGACTCTTTTCTCTTTCCCCTCATATCTAATCAATTTCAACTCTCAATATTTCAATTCACTTCCTCATTGTTTATCTTGACCACTGCATCAGGCTTCTAATTTCTCTCCGTCCTGTTTGTCCTCTTCAAATCCCTTCTCCACACATCGATCACAATATAGACAATTGTTTAAATTTCTTTCTTTCTTTCCTTTCTTCCTTTCTTTCTTTCCTTCTTTTTCTCCCTTTCTCTCTCTCTTTCTTTCTTTCTCTCTTTTTCTTGCTCTATGGCCCAGGCTGGAGTGCAGTGGTGCAATCTCAGCTCACTGCAGCCTTTGCCTCCCGGGTTCAAATGATTCTCCTGCCTCAGCCCCCAGGTAGCTGGGATTACAGGAATGCGCCACCACGCCAGGCTAGTTTTTGTATGTTTAGTAGAGACGGGTTTCACCATGTTGGCCAGATGGTCTTGAACTCCTGACCTCAGGTGATTTGCCTGCCTAAGCCTCCCTAAGTGCTAGGATTACAGGTGTGAGCCACCACACCAGGCCCGTTTAAATTTCCTAATGCCCTTCCTAAGATTCTCCTACCCCATGACCGCATGCTTGCCTGTTTTTGTAGCTATCTGCTGTTCCCCACCTGTAATTTCACTTTCCAACAACACTGAACACCTGGGCACTGGAGTGTAGAAAAAGAGTAATGGCACAGCTCTATGTGTGTGTGTGCAGAGGATAGATAGGTAGATGGCAGGCAGTAATGCTTTAAAGCAGAGTTGATTCATTTTTAACGGAATTTTGTAGAGATGGGGTCTCATTTTGTTGCTCAGCCTGGAGTGCAGTGACACAATCATAGCTCACAGCAGCCTCAAACTGCTGGGCTCAATCAGTCCTCTTGCTGTACCTCCTGAGTAACTAGATCTACAGGCATACACCATCGTGTCTGGCTAATTTTCTTATTTTTAATTTTTTTACAGACTATGTTGCCCAGGCTAGTCTTGAACACCTGGCCTTAAGTTATCCTCCTGCCTCAGCCTCCTGAGTAGCTGGGATTACAGACAGAAACCACTGTGCTCCACTAGTAAAGTTGGATTTAAATAAATGTTTTATGGAATCAAGAAACATATTTAGAGAAACACAAAAAATTAGGAGAACAGTTTTAAGTAGAAAGTAGAAATAGCATGTTATGTTGAGAAGACCACAGACTGGGAGTTGGAAGCACAATTTAGTCTTGATTTTGTCCTTTCCTGGCTGTGTAAATTTGAACAAGTCACTTAACTTCTCTGGGCATCAGTTTGCTCATCTGTAAAACTGAGGCAGGTGGATTAGCTTCCCAAAGGTCCTTCAATTCTTAAAATGTATGATTCTAGGGGAAAAAAATTCCTAAAATGTGTTCTATATACATTTACAGTCTGCCATTCAAAAACATACAATAGAAACTTCAATCTTAGAGATTTTGAATTACTTCTTCAGTGTTTGTCTCAATGCCTGAGCCCAGTTCTCATCACAATACTCAGCTCTTCCCCATCACCTCAACCTCTGGATTTCCAGGTCACCAGCGAGGCTGGTGGACCCAGAGAGGAAGAGACATATATCTTAACTATCATCTCTTCTCAGGTTTAACTTGTTCTTATAAAAAGCCCTAGTAAATATGTGATTTTGAAATGCTCTTGAAGTCTGCTTGCTGAGGCTAAGTCAATTATGGGTAAAAACAGAAAACAATGTGAGGGAATAGATTTGCAGTTTCACCTGCATGCAAATAATTCATTAACACGTGCTACAGCTGTGACTCTATTTTCACAGAATTCACTTCTCGAAAGGTTCTAATTAACTTACAGAAGACCATTCCTACAAGTCAAATATGCCACCACCAAGTGGCACTGCCACTGCTACCAGGTGACACTTTATTGATTGATTAAAGACAGATCAGTTGATAAAGGCAAGGCTTCTCTGCAGTTCAAACTGCGCTCTGTGCAAGTACGGTAACGTGTTGCCACTCCCATTAAATGTGTAACTCCCATCAAATGTGTAGTCCTATATGGTTAAATATCATAAGTAGATTTTTAAATTATTATTATGCCAGACACAGTTGCTTGTGCCTGTAATACCAGCACTTTGGGAGGCTGAGGTGGGTGGATTGCTCGAGCCCAGGAGTTCAAGACTAGCCTGGGCAATATGGTCAAACCCCATCTCTACTAAAAATACAGAAATCCACTGGGTGTCGTGGCACACACCTGTAATCCCAGCTACTCAGGAGGCTGAGGCACAAGAATCGCTTGAACCCAGGTGGTGGAGGTTGCAGTGAGCTGAGACTGTGCCACTTGCACTCCAGCCTGGTGACAGAGCAAGACTCGGCCTCAAAAACTATATATTAAATTAAACTGAAGTACCATATTTAAAATTGCTTTAGGGTAGTGGTTCCCAACTCTGGCTACACATTAGAATCACCTGGGGAACTTTAAACGCTTTACCGGTGCCCAAACCTAGAGCCTCCGATTTAACTGCTTTGGGAGGATCTTATTCACCAGAGAATCTTTTTCTCCTTGTTCTTGTGGAGGACAGAGTGTTCATGGCTCTTAAAATTATCAAGTCACCTTTTCAACACCAGAATTAATGGAGGGACTTGAGAAAAAAATGCTGTGACTACTCCATCCTTCTGACCATTCATTCATTCATCTGCCCATCTTTCTGTATGGGTATGACACTATGTCAAGGAGTGCAGAGAACACCAATATAAATATTTGAGTTGTATTAGCAGCTCTACTGGCTACAGATGTCTTTATAAACTGCATTAAATTTAAGGAGAACTTTACTGTAGAAACATTCTGATCAGAAAAACTGCAAAACAGTGACATATACTATTTTGAAATGTTCTGATTTTTCAAAAATTAACTTTTTAATTGAACTATAACAAACATGTATTATAGGAAAGTGTGCAGTTATAAGCACATATTTAAATAAATTATCATCAGATAAACATAATCACGCCCTTCTCGCCTCCCCAAAGGTACCACCATTCTAACTTCTAACATCATAATAGCTTTGCCGGTCTTTAAATTTTATATAAATGGAATAAAATAGCATACGTTCCTTTTGTCTGGCTTCTTTTTTTTTTTTTTTTTGAGATGGAGTCTTACCCTGTCACCCAGGCTGGAGTGCAATGGCGGGATATCAGCTCACTGCAATCTGCATCTCCTGGGTTCAAGCACTCTCCTGCCTCAGCCTCCTGATTAACTGGGACTACAGGCACCTGCACCACACTCAGCTAAACTTTTTTTGTATTTTAAGTAGAGACGGGGTTTCACCATGTTGGTGGTCTCCAACTCCTAACCTCAGGTGATCCACTTGTCTCAGCTTCCCAAAGTGCTGGGATACAGGCGTGGGCCACTGCGTCTGGCCAGGCTTCCTTTTCTCAACATTGTGAGATGTATCCATGTTGTTCAGTATAGCAATAGTTTCCTCAGTTTTATTTTTGTGTAGTATCCCATTGAATGAATACTACAATTAGATATCTAGGAGTTGGTTATACATCAAAGGGGTAGAATGTAGGCCTTTCAAGTTATGGCAATTTGGTAGTTGTAATGGAATCACATTACGGCTTTAACTTACATTTCTTATAGCTAATGAGGTTGACCATTTGGGTAGCTTCTTTAGTGAAGTGTCCAAGTCTCACGCTTATTTATTTTTTTTTTATGAGCTTGCCTGTTTATTTTAGTTTTATAAAAAACGGGAAAAACAGTACTAGGCATGCCAAGAAAGGACAAAGCCACATTCCTACCTATGTTACTAACCTGGGAGGAGAAAACAGGAATAATAATAAGGACAAGAAAAATAGCTTAATGTCTTCCCTAGAACTAAAACAAAACTTCTTTCAGGAGTGTGGCACCGGTTGGGAATACGAAAGTATTCAGTCACCAGTCATTCTTGCCTGGACTGCAGGCTGGACAGAACCCTCACCCTGATCCCTGAAAACAGATTCACCTGTGAGGTCAACCACTCTTACCCTCTGCAGTAGTCCCCCACTCCCTCTCTTTTGTGTAGATTAAGGCCCTGCTGCTCAGTTATGGGAAGGAGAGTTCAGGAGATGCTAAAATCATACGCTAAGTGGATAATTTCCTTCCAGAGTACCAGTCTGTAAGGATGGAAGAGGAATTGAGGATCCACAAGTGCAGGAAGCACAGACATGAACAGAGAAAATCCCGCTTACTGGAGCTGGAAGTGCTTGAGCTTGGTAACCAGCAGTTTGTACTGGGCACCCAGGGGTGCCATGGATGCTACATCTACAAATATCAGTTGCTCCAAGGGTCCCGTTTCATTGGTTGCTTCGGAGGGACATAAGGTACGGCTCACTTCCTGGTAGTTGTAGCTCCTCTGGTATCTAAAGTAGCCAATATAGGGGGAAAAAATCAACAAGAACAAGAAAGAGACTCAATGACTGATCAGGGAAAGGAGTCTATCTCATTTTGCTTTTCTCCAAATTTGTTTTCAAGTCCTTATGTTTTGATTTTTAGACTGGAACTATCAATAGTAATTTTAGAACTAGTGTTGTTGGCGTTGGGTTGTAGGATATGATAAAAGGGCTGTGAAGACTGTTCTGTGCTGACCAGTTCACTTCAGTGACGTCTACATTACGCTAAGCCGTTCTTCAAATTCAATGAGGAATAAATACCCAATTTCAGGGGAAAACTGTCCTGATAAAACAACCAGCTGATTCCATTTTCCAGTCTTCAAACTGCTGCTAAAATGAGAGTAAAGAAAGCCCTGGAGTCCAAGTCAAAGCTATCAAAGTTAGTATTTCAATCCTCAAATTCTTCAACCTTTAAAAATAATGTTATGTGACAATGTTGCATGGCTTCCAGGTTTTTCTTTCTTTCTTTCTTTCTTTTTTTTTTTTTGAGACGGAGTTTCACTCTTGTTACCCAGGCTGGAGTGCAATGGCACGATCTCGGCTCACCGCAACCTCCGCCTCCTGGGTTCAGGCAATTCTCCTGCCTCAGCCTCCTGAGTAGCTGGGATTACAGGCACGTGCCACCATGCCCAGCTGAATTTTTGTATTTTTAGTAGAGACGGGGTTTCACCATGTTGACCAGGATGGTCTCGATCTCTTGACCTCGTGATCCACCCGCCTCGGCCTCCCAAAGTGCTGGGATTACAGGCTTGAGCCACCGCGCCCGGCCTCTTTCTTTTTTTAATTAGTGCGATAGTCCCTTTTACACTTCTCCCCTGAAAAATATAAACTTGAGGAGGGCAGCCACTTCATTGTTTTTCCACTGCTGTCTCTCCAGCACCCACCACTTAATAGTGCTCAATAAATATTATTGAATGAAGAATTAGGGGAAGAGTTACTCATTTATGTTAACTGCTGGACATAGCCCATTGGATGGCTATTGGTCAACCCAGTACCCAAAAGCTACAGAATATCCTGGTATGATTTAAAAATGGTAAAAGCTCTTCTAGGTGTTGCCAATCTAGGTAGAGTGCTCATCTAAAAATTGAACAAAGCGAACAGGTCAGGGCATGCACCATGTATCATTATTTGCACTTTGTATGCAGAATGTCATGTCGCGACATTCCAAATGTCTGATTTTTCCTTTCATTAGGGAAAAGATCAATTAAGTTCTAGGACATTGAAGAAAACCAAATGTAGCAAAGCTGCCTGGGAGAAAACCCACTTACAGTCCTTGGAAGAGCAGAGGAACCTGCCAGGACAGCACCTCTTTCTGCTGGCGAACCACAACAAGGACTGGGTAGTTGAGATTCTCAGAGGAGCTGTTCACATACACTCTCACGGCAGTCACCTGCATGAGAGGGTAGAAAGAGGTAATGTAAAATGCACATATGCACATACACAAACACTCGCGCGTGTGCACACACACACAACGCACATGCATACACACCCCATAGCTGTCATATGAGGCTCAGAAACACTTTAATTTCTGACATTGTCTTCTCATGATGTCCCATATGTCCAATCCAAATGTCCCAGATGTTTCTCCTCATTCATATTGTAACCAGAGTGGGTCTCAACTTTGATTGCACATTGAAATTGCATGGGGGATTTTTAAAAAATGATGCCTAAATCCAACCTGCCAAAATTCTGATTCAGTTAATCTTGGATGAGGCTAAATTATGGAGCCTTCAAACAGCAAGCTGGGGAGTTTGAGCTGACCAGGCAACACAAGATTTTGAGGATGAACCCAGAATAGAAAAAGAAAGATACTGATGTGCTTTTCTTCTTATCTGAATATAAATGCTAAAGATACAAATAGCTAAAAATAACAATGTTCACAAAGCCACCCTCCTTCAAAAGCAAATCCTACAAGACCTTCAATTGCTGAAAAACTTTAATTTTGGGTTGGTAGATCATTCTGTGTTTCAAATAAAAATGTCATGACCACATTTTATTAAAGCCTAACAGATGGTCTGGTGCTCCCACCAACAATAAATCATGACGCCTCCTGAGCAACAGATATCGCAGGGTGGAGTATTCTTCTCTTTCTCTTGCTCTGAGGTATAAATCAATCCTTGACACAAAATGCTTTTTTTACGTCAGTAACTCCATAGGTCTTTCTGAATATGCGCATGTCAAACCTATTAAGAATTTAACCCAGGCTGGGCGCGGTGGCTCAAGCCTGTAATCCCAGCACTTTGGGAGGCTGAGGCGGGTGGATCACGAGGTCAAGAGATCGAGACCATCCTGGTCAACATGGTGAAACCCCATCTCTACTAAAAATACAAAAAATTAGCTGGGCATGGTGGCACGTGCCTGTAATCCCAGCTACTCAGGACGCTGAGGCAGAAGAATTGCCTGAACCCAGGAGGCGGAGGTTGCGGTGAGCCGAGATCGCGCCATTGCACTCCAGCCTGGGTAACGAGTGAAACGCCGTCTCAAAAAAAAAAAAAGAATTTAACCCTATTATGGTTATTTTAAAGACAGGAAATTGGAAGTGACTTTGGATCTAGATGGTATTGGTTTTTTTTTTTTTCTTTTCTTTTCTTTTTTTTTTTTTTTTAAACAGAATCTCCCCCTGTTGCCCAGGCTGGAGTGCAATGGTGCAATTTTGGCTTACTGCAAACTCTGCCTCCCGGATTCAAGAGATCTTCGTGCCTCAGACTTTCAAGCAGCTGGGATTACAGGCGTGCACCACCATGCCCAGCTAATTTTTGTAGTTTTAGTAGAGACAGGGTTTCACCATATTGGCCAGGCTGGTCTCAAATTCCTGACCTCAAGTGATTGGCCCACTTCGGCCTCCCAAAGTGCTGGGATTACAGGTGTGAGACATTGCCCCTGGCCTTCTTTCAATTTTTATACCACAGGCAACATGGAAGAGAACAAAATAGAAGAGAGATAGGGTAAAAACAACAACAAAAAAATTTGATCTTCCATATGAGATTTTGTTTTTCTAATGTCTTAGTATTCTCTTGAAAATTTCTTTATTAAGAAAAAGAATATAAAACAAGAAAATCCTGCAATTAATCCCTAATGATGTATTGGGCATTCAAAATGTAAATTGGGAGGAAACGGAATAGCATATATTGCCATTTGGATATCTCATATCATTCTCCTTAATCAAGCCACTGCATTGCTTTTTAAATGTTAAAATAGCCCAAGAATAACTTACTAATTGGATAGGAAGTGCTTGCTCTGAAGGGAGAGTTTTCTTGTGCCTACACTCTACGTGTTTCCATGGAAATTATGCTGCAGCTGAGAATTGCCACATATCTCTACTGAGACTTCTTTCTGAAGCTCTGAATCTTCACAGGCACCTCATACTCAAAGTGTCTGAAATGGAATCCATCACTCCCTTCACTCCTAACTTTAATTTCTTCTGAATTCCCTTGCTTGTTGAATGGCCCCATCATGTAGCCATTCATTGAAGCCTGAAGCTGGAGATTCATCCTTGATTCCTGCTTCTTGAGCTCCCTTGCTTCCATCTCCTTAATACTGTTCACACCCAAATCCTCCTCTCCGCCCAGAGTGACTCTCTCTCAGTCCTGCATCACAGTGACCTTCCTTGATAGTCCCCTATCTGGTCTTCCGACACCAGAGTTGCACTTGCTAGGAGGGCAGTTTCACCTGTCATTCCTCACTCCCCTTCAGTGGCTCTGAAGAGTTTTTGGATTTACCCCAAAGTAACAAGAATACTATAATGAGTGCTCATGTACTTATCCAGTTTTAATAATTATTAACAAATATATTTAATTTATATCTCCTATCTCCCATATACCTCCACCACTGGATTATTTGAAAGTATACACCAGGCCAGACATAGTGGCTCACGCCTGTAATCTCCTTTGAGAGACTGAGGTGGGCGGATCACCTGAGGTCGGGAGTTCAAGACCAGCCTGACCAACATGGAGAAACCCCGTCTCTACAAAAAAAAACAAAATTAGCTGGGTGTGATGGTGCCTGCCTGTAATCCCAGCTACTCGGGAGACTGAGGCAGGAGAACTGCTTGAACCTGGGAGGTGGAGGTTTCAGTGAACTGAGATCACCCATTGCACTCCAGCCTGAGCCACAGAGCAAAAATCCATCAAAAAGAAAGAAAGAAACAAACACACCAAAGATATTCTCATTTATCTGCACCACAGTTCAGTCTATATCTCTAAGACACGAAGCCTTATCTTTTTAACTTAAATACAACACCATTATCCCACTTGATAAAATTAATAATCTTAAAAATTATTTACATCCACATAGCATTTGAATTTTTCAATTGTTTCAAAATGTTTTCTCTAGTTAAAAAAAAATTGGGCACAAACAAGATCTGTTGTATTTGAACACTGTATTTGGTTCATATGTCTTTTGAATCTCTTTTAGTACAAAGGGTACCCTTTCCTCCTTTTAGGGGACACTTGTTTGTTAAAGAAAGCAGCTCACAAAACAACAATACAAGTCTGCAGAAGAACCAGCATTGCTGATTGCACCCTGCAGTGTCATTGAACAGGTTTTATTGATCTCCTGTATTGCCTGCAAACTGGTAGTCAGATCTAGAGGACTTCATTAGACTCAAGTCGTCAAATTTCTCAATCTTTTTCCTGGGTTTTGAGTCATAGTCAAGGAAGTTTTCATTATTCCTAGTTACTGAAGGATTTACTCATGTTTACCTTTAGTATTTTATGGTTTCATCCTAAAAATTATTTAAACCTCGAATCCCTTCGCCATCAATACTAGTATGTGGTATAAGGAGTGATTGCAATTTTATCTTTGTTTCATATGGCTCTCCAGTTATCCCAACATCACTTACTTAAAAGTTCATCTTTTCTCCATGGATTTGAATCCCTCAAGCCTCTTCTTGATCTCTTCTGTGCCTTCGTCTCTGGTTTCTTTGCCTACCAGCACGCCCACTGCCTTGTCATTCCCAATTACTGTTTCTCAAAAGGGTAATGTCTTCAGTGTCGACTGGTCTTTGGATATCTTAATTCTTAAAGTCTTCCTTGGGGAAGTCTTCCTTAACATTTTCCTACCCTACCAAATAGGTGGTGTCCCTTCCTTTTGCAGGGATGCTGTGTGGCCTCTAATTACCTCTACATGGTGTCTCTACCACGCATAGCATTCTTAAAATGCGGTCAACTTTATTACTTTTTCTTGGCCATTTCTTTTATCACTCAAATTGAGATATAATTCATATATCACACAATCCATTCTTTTAAAGTGCAGAATTCAGTAGTTTTTAATATATTCACCAAATTGTGCAACCATCACCGCTATCTAATTCTAGAACATTTTTCTCACCCCAAAAAGAAACCTGTACCCATTGGCAGTCACTCCTCATGCCTTCCTTCCCCCAATCCCTGGCAATCACTAATCTAATTTTTGTCTTTATGGATTTGCCTATATTTCAAATAAATGGAATAATGTGCCCTTCTGTATCTGGCTTATTTCCTTAGCATAATGTTTTTAAGGTTAATCCATGTTGTAGTATATATCAGTACTTTATTCCTTTTTATTACTAAATAATATTCCATTTCATGCATATACCACATCATGCTTATCCATTCTTTGGTTGATGGACATTTGGTTGTTTTCTCTTTTTAGCTATCATAAATGTTGCTATGAACATTTGCATACAAATTTTCTTTTCTTTTCTTTTTTTTTTTTTTTGAGACGGAGTTTCACTCTTGTTACCCAGGCTGGAGTGCAATGGCGCGATCTCGGCTCACCGCAACCTCCGCCTCCTGGGTTCAAGCAATTCTCCTGCCTCAGCCTCCTGAGTAGCTGGGATTACAGGCACGTGCCACCATGCCCAGCTGATTTTTAGTATTTTCAGCAGAGACGGGGTTTCACCACGTTGACCAGGATGGTCTCGATCTCTTGACCTCGTGATCCACCCGTCTCGGCCTCCCAAAGTGCTGGGATTACAGGCTTGAGCCACCGCGCCCGGCCAGAAATTTTCATGTGAACATATATTTTCAGTTCTTTTGGGTATATGCCTATGAGTAGAATTGCTGGGAGAGATGGTAACTATGCTTCACTTTTTGTGGAACTGCCAACATGTCTTCCAAAGAGGTAGTCATTTTACATTCCAATAATTTACCTAGCAAGCAATATATAAGGGCTCCAGTTTCTCTGTATCCTTGCCAACACTTGTCACTATCTGTCTTTTTGAATGTAGCCATCCTAGTGGGTGTAAAGTTGCATCTCACTGTGCACCATAGAATATTTTAACTGCTAGTTTACCTCCTTGGCTCTTCTAGGAAGATGCAGACTTTATCTTTGGCATCCTTAGTGCCTGGCAGAGTGCATTAGCTTAGAAGCAGGCTCACTTTTGAGGCTGTAATACAGACACTCACCAGG